TGAGTACACGATGTAAGTTCTGGATAAGCTACTGGCCAACCAGATTTACCGGCTGCACAGAGTTGGTAAGTTGGAGGTGATGCGGTAGCAAAAGTAAATGATAAACAAAATACTGTTATCAAAAATAGTGAATGTGCGTATTTTCCTATGCCGGATGAAAACTTTGTAGAAATTGAATTTACATTTCTATCTACATTATTTCTGTTGACATTTCTATCTTTACGAAAGTTGTTATTTCGTTTAGGGAATCTAGGAGGTGTTTTTGATCGACTGTTTCTATTAGGAAAAGGTGAACGACTATTAGAAAAAGGTGAACGACTTCGGGATCTACTGTTGGAATTATCGCGTGAATAAGGTGCAAATCTAACATTCTTTTTGTAAGGGATGAATGGTTTTCTTTTAAAATTAGTTCGGGAGTCGCGCATGTAGTTATTTGATGGATAAAACCTATTGCGATTATATCCGCGATTATATGGGTAGTCCGGAAGACGTTTCAAATTATCGGCTTGGAAAATAGCATTAATTGGTTTTGAACGTAAATTATCGAGAATTTTATCTACTTTTTCCATTAAGACAGAGTCTCCAGTAAAGTGTTCTTCATATTCTGTTAGATCAAAGACTCGTTCCGCTTCAGTTAAAAGTTTGTTGAAGTCAGTGGGTAAAGGACCCAAAAGTTTAAGCTTTTGCTTGAGTTTTGGAGGTAAAGCGGTGCTAAGAACAGTTCTTAGGAGAAATTCTCTATTTTGTTCTTGATCTGGTTCGGGATAAGCCTCTAATATGCATTGTCTTAGTCTTTTAGAAAACAGTGTTGGCGATTCGCCAGGTTTCATTTTCATTTCCATGAGTTTTTCGCGAGCCATATCCAAAAAATGATCAGTGGAGAAATGTCTACCAAGTTCATTAACGGCTAACTGCCAATTTTCCTTTTTGAATTTTGGAAAATTGTCAAAAACGGCTTTTGCAGTGCCTTTTAAGTGAGCGGGTAGTAAGCGTGCTCTCTTTTGTGGGGTTAAACCCATGATGTCACTAATTTCAACGAATTGCTGTATAAAGTTCATTAAGCCTTGTCCACCTTGTTCACCAGAAAAGGTTGGAAGCTTAGTTGAGTATGAGGAGAGGCACAGTTTGTCAAAAACGTTATCTAGACGGTCTACCAATTGACTGGATTGCATTTCAGGATGTGGATCTATTTCTATGGGTTCCTCAAGTATTTCACGTTCTCTAGGCTGAGTTGCTTGAGGATTAGAAAGTTTGCTTAAAATCACCCCTATTTGTTAAACGATTTGGTTGAGAGAGTGAACGTCGGCGAAGAGATTGCAGAGAAAAAAAAAATAGAGAGCCACCAAGTAGTGGATGTGGGTACTGGATTGTCGAAGGTAAGGTTTATATAGGTATCCAAAAGTTGTAATATGTGTGGGAATTGGTGTAATGTTACAAATATTCCGAGAAACTGGTAAATATTTTGACGGAAAAAATTAGTCTTTGCTCTTATTAATGGTTTTGTTTACGAGTTTGGTTCCTGTATTACACAGTATTAGGATGGAGAATCTATTTTTGGATTCTTGGATGTGATATTGTAATAGGTGAGGTTTAGATTAATTGCAGAAGAAATCTTCCTAATGGTTTTGTTTACGAGTTTGGTTCCTGTATTACACAGTATTAGGATGGAGAATCTATTTTTGGATGTGATATTGTAATAAGTGAGGTTTAGATTAATTGCAGAAGAAACGCATTCTTTTTTTTTTCTGCGTTATATTTTCCTCGCTTTTGCGGGTTCGCTTTCGCGAGGTCGCTTTCGCGGGGTCGCAGGTGCGCTTTCAATAAATCAAGGTTGCAAATTGGAGCTACAAATAGCGGGGGAACGGCACGAGCAGCCAGTCTATTGGCTTGTGCTCTGCTTAAAAGTCTCCGTTATGAGATTCTTATCTTAGAATTCGCTTTTATCTCATTGTTTTTAGTTATACTCTCTCTTTTTTTTTAATATATATACTCGAAAGTCGTTTTTGTTTTAATCGTCGTATATATATATATTTAGAAGAGAGAAAAAAAAATGGCTCAATCCCCTGCTGATAGTTGGGATGTAGCTGGTGTCCAGGAATGGACACCAATTAGTCCCAACCACGAACAGCCCTCACGTTCTCCCAGCCTTGAAAACATGCAGGCGGAGAATGAAGAAGAGGTAGGTTTTTTTTTTAAACAAAAAAATTATTTACTTTTAGTTTAATTTAATTTAGACTAACAAAATTCTCAAGCTTGAAAGCATCATTAGAAAACTCGAGAGAGATCTGGTGGAGGAGAAACGCAAAGCCGAGGAAGCTGTGGATCGTGCACGGGACACCGTAAGTGGGAGAACCCACTTATGGGCAACTTGTGATACCCTGCGGGATGACTGTAAGGAGAAAGATCGGCACATCCAGTCGTTGCAGTGGCAACTGGACAAAGAGAGGGCCAGATATGAAAAGAATTCGGCGAGTGATCGCCAACTTCACGCGGAATTACAAAGGGTCAGTAAAAATATTTTATTTTCTATTATCGATCTATGTATTTATTTGATTATTTATATTTTTTTTTTGGAAATGCTCACGTTAGGAGAGGATTTATATACCATACGTTCGGTGTTTAACAACGTTGAAAGCCGGCGCCGTCCCACTTTGTTGGAGGAAACACTACGTTTTGAAGAAAGAGTACTTTCTATGCTCGTACGTGGGGACGTACGCAAGACTCACATAAGAATTCAACCGGACGCATCCGTTATCATGGACATTGAGGAGGTTGGTAGTCAACCAGGCGAAATTTACGGCAGATGTGAGTTTATTGATAATTAGACTAACGTTTATTTATTTTTATTATTTTTTTTTTAAAAAATTAAGTTGTTTTCAGGTAGCTTACATGATAGTGCCGGGTATTTCTTCAAATGTGTCAGTGGAGAAGAGAGATGGAGAGGAGACCGCTCGTGTGTGCGACTCCACTTTGGGGAGTTAGTCATTGTGAAGAATGGCGAGGAAATCGAACTATCGAAGTCATTTCGAAAGTGTCTTCTACGCGGCACTACTGCAGCGATTGAGGTTTACAATATCGCCGGACGTGAAAAACTCATAAGAAAGTTGAATGAGCGTGGCGGTAGAGCCGCTCCACAATAATTTTCTATGTTATAGGCACTATTGTACTCGTAGTAGTCTGTATTTAATGAGTGTTAATAAATATCTTTTTTTTTCTTGTATTGTTACATTGGGAGAGAAAAATTTAAAAGAAAAAGAAATTTGGGAATGAGGTTTTTTTTTTGTTTTAGAGAAGAAAAAAAAATTGACATTGAACTAGAGTGTAGAGAAGTGCAAAATGAAAAAGATTTTGTGGAGAAAGTGTGGTAATTAGAAGAAAGAAAAAAAAATTTTTTTTCATTTCGCTTGGTTATAGCAAAGCTTTCAAGAAATGCTGAGTTTGTAAAAAAAAAATTTTTTTTTTATTAGAGGTTTATATAAAGATATATTTTACTAATCACAACTAAATTCAATATTGTATTTATCCGACTTATTGCTGGGGACCCATAAGTTCGTTAGTGAGTAGAAAATATTATTTGGGCTTTTTTTATAAAATGATGCCAAAGTGGTGTCCAATTGCTCTTTAGTCTCTTTGTTTTGAGATAGGTGAGAATAAGAAGGGGTAGGTGTTACGATCATCAATCTCAACTGTATAGTCATTAGTCTTGAGGGTTCCTCCTTGAGTGTTTTCGCCTACGGCCAATTGCTCCATTAGTGAGTGATTACGGCAGGTGATGCGCTAGGATATTTTTATCTTTGCGGCCATTTGTTCGCGACTTATTAATTGCTAGGTGGGGTTCCTCCGCGTAAATATTTCTGGGCTCGGCCATTTGTTCGCGCTTGATTAATGGCGGATAATGGCGTTCCGAGCAAAATATTTCGTGCGGCCACCTGTGAGTTTTCGTCATCCACGAGAGAATTTATTGCTAGCTGAGGTTTGTTGAGGTTGCGCTGTCTGAGAGATGCAATGATCTATTCACCAAACAATGCGCCGTGAATCGGGCGAGCTGATAAATGTCAGCGCCTTCACGTGCTATATTGTATAGCCAATCTCAGATTTTGTATGCATACATTACCGGTTTTCGCGAGCGAGTCCTTTTGAATTTCATAATAATTGTATAAATTTAAGGGATAAATCCCGATATGCTAGCTATAATTACAATTAATATACCCTCATTCTTTAATGCGCAAAATAATAATTTATATTTAATACTTTTCATCTCTAAATTAATTACGTAAGTCACGGATCACGGTGAATTTGTAAACAAATCTACTGTGAATTGCGCGTAAAAAAAATTGCGTTCAATCATAAATCGGCACGAAACTTATTTTTCGAAAATATCCGCGTTTTACATGCATGAAATATATAATTTATTGACCTAAGGTACCCGCCCGCAGGACTTTATGAAGGCAATTCTCAGATTGCTCTAGGTAATGTTAGAACACACCATTGTCGGTTAGTGGTAATAATATTTAAAAAAAAATAATACTCACATGTCGTTCGAGCTTCCTTGCCATGGTTGAGGAAGGGGGATTGTAAGACGATTGGAAGAAGGGTGGTATGTCGATTGGGAGGAGGGTGGGGGGTGGTGATTTTTTTTTTAATTTTTTTTCAGAGAGAGAGAAAGAAAAAAAAAATTTTGTCTATCTGCGGGATGATATCTCCCTGGGACCTCCATATCAGGTTAAAGGGGTGCACAGACCTTTGCCTGATGGTGTAGCGGTGTTATTGTACTGTGTCCAAGACATAAGTAATTATAAATTAGTTTATTATATAAGTTACATAAAAGGAGAGGAAAAGGGGGGGAAGGGTAGACTGGTATGAGGATGACCAGCCAGGAGAGGGAGTGTGTGTAAGAGTTATTCATGCTGTCTTTTATACTCGTACAACAGCAACTGTGTCGTAGGCGGGGTGGCGTGTCCAGTAAACAGTGGAAGCATGACGAGGCATAAGATATGGTGAAATGATATCCCGACAAATGAAAGGGGTGGTCGATGGGGGAATTGACGTTCCTCACAGGTAAATATTCGCACCTCCGAAGTTTTTTTTCTATCAGTCACATTTACAAATGTAGATGATAATATGGTGCGCGAGCTAAGTATTATTTGCAGATTGCTTTTGAGTCGGGTTTGCTAAAAATATGCAGTCATGTCCAAATGAATTCAGTCTGTGCGTCACGGCTTTGTTTTGCTTTACTTGCTAAAATTTTACAGCGAAACTCGCTTCTTTGGCTATGACTCTGAGAACAAAAAGTACAATGCTGAAGCTCATCGTGACCGTATCTTCGGCAAACATGTCGCGGACTACATGACTAAGCTGAAGAAGGAAGATCCGGAGGCATATAATCGTCAATTTTCACAATTCATTGCCAATGGAGTTGAACCTGAACATCTGGAAAAGGTAAGTGAATTCAGTCAATGACATATCTTCTACTAACTTTTAGATGTACAAAAATGCTCATGAAGCAATTCGTCGTAATCCGGACCACATTACCAACCCGAAGAAGCCGATTGCGAAGCCAAAAGAGTAATTTTAATCTCCTAGTTTTGCGCTCTGAGCGATAATGTTTTTTTTGCAGTTACCATAATTACAAAATCGGTCTGAGTGAGCGAAAGAAGCGCATTGAGGAAAAGAAGCAGCTTTTGTTGCTGCTCAAAGAACAGCAAAATACTTACAGCCCATAAATTAGTCCAATGTTGTTATTGTTCGTGAATAAAGTCGTTAATTTTGCAGTGATGTAACTCATCTATGCTGAACTGGGATACGGAAAAATAATGTAAGGAAAGATTCAATGAGCGGTAGCGCTGAAATGATGCTTGTGATCACTGTTTTTTATTTGCTTATGGTCTCCCGCGAGTACTCACACAGTGAAATTTTTGAGGATGCGTCAACAAATGTTTGCGAGGTACCGAAGGTGCACAATGTAAAGCTAGCAAACTTCAATCGTTTTATGTTGATTTGGTCATATTTTTACAAATCAGGCAGAAAAGGGCCGAAACAGATTCACCACTCGGGTGCATCGGAATGCATATTAGGTTCCCAAAAATTTCCATTGCTTTCTGGCCATTTTATGAAAGGGTTCACTGTTCGCAAGCTTATGAGTGGAACGAAAATTGACAGAAACACTGGTTGGAGTAATAACCATGCATGGTCTTCCTTCTCCACAGGCTAGTAGAGCGAGTCGCTGCACGCAGAGATTGGCCGTAGTTGCGTTTGACCTAGACAAAACATGTTTGGAAGAGGCAACAGACAGTAGGAGAGGTGAGATTGTGCTTGATCCGAGAGACGAACAAAGACCGCAATGGCGTCATATCTCTGCGTGCAATGACATTTCTATACGACAATCTCATGTGAACGAATTCGAGATGAACCGTCCAACCGCTTTACTGTCTATCCCGAATAGCATGAATTGGGAACTGTTGATGTAAATACCAAGATGATTTGCCATAAGCATTCTTAAAGCCAGAGGTGGATCAGTTCCTATCGCAGTTCGACTCGAAGATGGCGGATAAGTCCGCATTCGTACCTGTAGAGGCCGTTACGGATAGGAAAGGCTCCGCTGAAAACGAAGCCGACATCGATGCTGAATTATTCGGAAAGAAGGCTCGTCATTAATATTCTTGCTTTCAAAGTTGAGGTGAGAAATTCCGGATTTTTTTTTTCAGGTGGATGCAAAATCGCCAGCAAAGGAGGCGCCACCGCCACCGCCACCACCTCCACCTCCACCGCCGCCGCCGCCGCCACCGCAGCCGTCCGCAAGACCAAAATATCAGTACAAAAAGTCAACCACCTATCACAAGTCATATGCGTATGCTAGAAAGTAAATAAATTTCCTGATTCCACTAGATTGTATGCGTATGTGTATATGTTCGCTGGCGTTGCGGTTTCTAATTGTAATGTTTTCCAGCGATCATTTGAATGCTGACAATAAAAATGATAATGTTCTGGTTACTTGATGTTCTTTTTGGTCGTTAATGATTTACAGAGAAGTCTCAAGTTGCATTAGAATAAGTTCATCAAGGTGCTTTTACCACCAAATGGTGAATGTGTGGTGTAAAACATAGCGAAGGTCCTGTACGCAGGAATGATATCCACGAAAGTCCATAATGGAGGAAAATGGACTTTCAAGCCCCATTTTATTCGTTCGCGGTGGAGAGTGGTTGGAATCTGCCTTCGCTCGCGTTATCCAAAATTTTTTATCCCATCGCAACCACGAGGCAAAGCGGTGTGATGAAAATGATTCAACCCTACTTGAGCTCTCGCTTGCGAAAGAATCATGCGAAAAGTGCATTTAGAATGGGGCAAAATGGGATTTACCTCCATTTTAAATGGACTTGAAAGCCCATTTTACTCCCAGCAGCATGGTAAGGTGGGACTAAGCCCATTTATGATCTTTTTGCACATTTTTGAAGGCGATTTTTTGAGAATGTGTTCCTTAGCCCATTCTAAGGTAGCAAGTGAGTGGAGAAAATTTCATGTTTTTTATGATGTCTGAAATAAGTGTTTCTTTCTAAACTTAAACAAACGTTATAAAAATCATGGAAGAAGGTTAAATTCACCAAAATATTCGCTAACAAACTCAAATGCTTTTAAATATCAGGTCGATGCGAAAATTCATATGTAAATCAAATAAAGTTTGTTAACTCTTCAATTCATTGACCAAAACTAAATTCATGATTTGTATCTGAAAATAAAGAAGATCTGCATTTCAATATAATTACTCAGAAACTATCTTTTGACTAATCTCGCAGAACCGAACCTCAAAGACGGCATTTTGAACGCGATTTTGAGTTTGGTTGCAAGAATTATTAAAATGCGCCAGCTAGCAAGAAAATTTCTGTGAAAAATTTCTTACTAGCAATAGCCCGTACATTCAACTATTTAGAGATATAAACATTCGTGCTAAAAGGGAAGGAAGAGCTAAAGTAGAACATTTGTGAAGTCATCTTGCAGATTCGTAGTTTTTCCGATTTGAAAAACCTTTAGTGTAGTACAAGGTTTCCTGTAAGGTAAGCATTATAATTCACAGACTTCAGTGAAAGTCTAGCCAAAGTTTGCTTTCTGCAAAAAGCTCTACCTACGAATTTTACTCAAACAGATTCATAGAAGTTTTGAAAGGCCAAGAGCCGGATTTTGCATTAATTTTAGTTTTGAACGTGATTTAGATGCATAGTCATCGATAATATGGCATTTTGTGAGGTGTAAAATGTTAGCTCAGCCTAATTAGATACCGACCACTTGGTGGAAATGAGTTTGCAAGAGTGAGCAAACAGGTTGAGGCAAGTTGAAGAAAGGTTTGCTGAAGAAATTTTGTATGGAATGAATGGATTCGCGAATGCGATATCTTATCGCACCGCATGGACTAAGTCCATTTTATTCGCACGAAAAGCCCATTCCGCGGGGACTTTCGTGGATATCATTCCAGAATAATGAAACTAGTGTCTGAGCATTTTTACGGATTTTTCGAAACTAAGGTTCCATACCTAAGGCACTGCCCATGTGTGCAGCGCAAGTGATAACGATTGAGAAATAGTCTGAAATCTTCCATATCTGCACAGTAACTTTGCAAATGAACTAGTGGCTCTAACAATAAGCGTAGTCTTATATATTAGGTCGTTTCAAAAGTAATTTCGCTTTTTTCAAACGGGCGCCACATTTAATAGAACAAACATTTCTAAGAAATCTTGGTAGCATTCGACACAGCATTTCATCCTCTTTGTAGTGGATATGAAATTGTTGCAAAATAGCCAATGAGCTTCCGGAAAATAACCAAAATCTGGCACCTATGCTATTTGAGATAGTCACGTTTCACAATTTTTTAGAACTTTTATATCAACCCTCCGGAAAAATGAAATAACGCCTTTATAGAGCAAACCCTGCAGAATGCAAAACTACTTTTTTCTCCTTTCCATAGCTTGTCATACGTTTTTAACAGAATTTTTACTGATACTACCGATTTCCACATTTGGGCAGCTAAATCCTCGTAGTCCATCAGAAGAAGAGCAGCTCGCGCACTATTCGATGCAGCATTTTCTAATCTTTCTAAAAGATGTTTTTTGTTTCCGATTCGTTTAGTTTCCGGGAAGAAATCATCATAACTCATTTTTTCAGCGAGCCCCAGGCTGTACCCGGAAAACCTGAAAATTGATATTTCGAACCCGTAAACCCTCACTTGCTTTGTAAAATTAGTGCTAACTCATAGTACCATCTTGGTAGCCTCAAAATCCGAAAAATTATGATGTTTGATACGATTGTGGCTGAGGTGGGCCTGCCAAAATCCGAGGTTCTGTTAAAACATCTTTTAAAGAACTACGGCGATTGCGAGGAAGAGAAAAAAGTAGTACTGTATTCTATAAGGTTTACTCTATCAAATCTTTACTTGAACTCCTTCTGAGGATTGATATGAAAGTTTTAAAAAATCGTGGAATTTGACCATCTCAAAAAGCATGGGTCGCAGATTTTGATTATTTTCTGAAAGCTCATTAACTGTTCTGCAAAACCTTCATGACCTTTAGAAAGAGAATGAAATGCTGCATCGAATGCTCTCAAGATCTCTCAGAAACCTTTGTTCCATCAAATGTGGCGCCCGTTTGAAAAAAGCGAAATTACTTTTGAAACGACTTAATATAAAGCTGAATGTCTGTTTGTCTGTATGTATGTATGTCTGTATGTACGTATGTTCCAAATAGAAAATTTTATTTCTCAACCGATCCGGACCAAACTTGGCACACATACCCTTCGGGGCCGGGCGGGTGTCATAGGCTACTTTTCGTCATCGATCGATATCGATTTTATCGATTTTTATCGATTTTTTGCTGAGTCCACCTACGGGGCTGGGAGTTTGCACAGGGGGGTAATCGAGCATGGGGATTCCGAATACAATATTGGTTTTCAGGATTATCGATTACTTTTATCGATTTTATCGATTATTTTGCTGACTTCACCTACGGGGCTGGGAGTTTGCACAGGGGGGTAATCGAGCATGGGGATTCCGAATACAATATTGGTTTTCAGGATTATCGATTACTTTTATCGATTTTATCGATTTTTTTGCAAAGTTTGAGCTACGGGGCTGGGAGTCGGCACAGGGGGTAATCGAGCATGGGGATTCCGAATACAATATTGGTTTTCAGGATTATCGATTACTTTTATCGATTTTATCGATTTTTTTGCAAAGTTTGAGCTACGGGGCTGGGAGTTCGCACAGGGGGGTAATCGAGCATGCTGATCATCCCCAAGGAGGGTGATCAGCATGCTCGATTACACCCCTGTGCCAAATTCCAGCCCCCTAGCTCAAATTTTCAAAAAATCGATAAAATCGATAAAAGTAATGGACAATCTTGAAAACTAATATTGTATTCGGAATCCCCATGCTCGATTACCCCCCTGTGCAAAATCCCAGCCTCGCATGTCAAAATTTACAAAAAATCGATAAAATCAATAAAAGTAATCGATAATTCTGAAAACTAATAATGTATTCGGAATCCCCATGCTCGATTACCCCCCTGTGCAAAATCCCAGCCTCGCATGTCAAAATTTACAAAAAATCGATAAAATCAATAAAAGTAATCGATAATTCTGAAAACTAATATTGTATTCGAAATCCCCATGCTCACTTCCCCCCCCCCCCTGTGCCAACTCCTAGCCCTGTAGGTGAACTCTGCAAAAAAGATCGATAAAAATCGGTAAAATCGACATCGATCGATAACGAAAAGTGGACTGTGACACCCGCCGGAGCCCGAAGTGTATGTGTGCCAAGTTTGGTCCGGATACGGCGGAGCCGGGTAAGCCAGCTAGTAGTTCATATTCTCTAGCGGGGACCAGACTCAAAAATACATTCTTTAAATTCGGTCTGGCTAGGATTTCGAGTAATTATAATCTCTCAGCAGAGGATCAGTTTCGCATTGGGCAGTGATCTACTTAGGAACCCCGATATTTTTTATAAGAATTGAGCAATACTGTTTTGCGAGTGAGGGCAGGTCCTAGGAAGGGCGTCTAAATAAGTGGACGTATCATCGTTTCCTGTAGCCTCCTCTTATTGTCAATAACAAAGCTCGATGTACAAGCTGTTACAGTAGAATCACTAGATCTCAAATGCGAATCACAGATTTAGGAATCAGCTGACGGTACCTTCCTTCTCACTTTACTACAGCCACTCACCTATATCATTCTAGTCCATACCACCACTACAGATGATGGTGATATGGACTAGAATGATATAGGTGACAAGATAAAGGCTCGCTAAGCACGTAACAAGAAGTGATGATAGTTCCTATCGAAGTGCGACTCGAAGATGGCGGACAAGTCCGCTTTCGTGCCTGTTGAGGCCGTCACGGATAGAAAAAGCTCCGCTGAAAACGAAGCTGACATCGATGCTGAATTATTCGGAAAGAAGGCTCGTCATTTACATGCTCGCTTTCAAAGTTGAAGTCATGGATTCCGAATTTTCCAGGTGGATGCAAAATCACCAGCAAAGGAAGCACCGCCACCACCACCGCCACCTCCACCTCCACCACCGCCACCGCCACCGCAGCCGTCAGCAAGACCAAAGTATCAGTACAAAAAGTCAACCACTTATCACAAATCATATGCATATGCTAGAAAGTAAATAAATTTCCCGATCCCACTAGAATATATGCGTATGTGTATATGTTCGCTGGCGTTGCGGTTTCAGAATGTAATGTTTTCCGGCGATCATTTGATGCTGACAATAAAAATGATAAGTGTTGTGGTTACATGGTGTTCTTGGTTTTTGAGCAGAGCAGGGTATCGCTGAGAATTTCGAGGATGCTTCATAAGTTGTTTTGACTACCACATTGCGTGCACATTAAACGTCGCATCCGTAATGAATTAATCGGTTAGTAGGTGTACTTCTATCGATCCGCCATACTCAAAAGCTTCAATTTTTTCCCATTTGTTTTACAGCAGCATCTCGGTCATAATCCTTATTGACTATTATCAAGCTGCAGTAATGGCAGACTTTTACAGACGGATTCGCAACACATAAACAGTAGTTTCACGAAAATCTATCTGTAGATACCGTTGAGCGCTCCGTTTAGCAGATCAGTATACTTCTTCTTCAGCCGCTTTGAACAAACAGATTCTAGAAATTTGATCTTACAACACTTTTTCGATTGAAAACCACACTTGTCCTCGAAGAGGGTTTAGATCTAACGATCATGGCTGGCCTTCCAGTGTATTACAATACAGCTATAACACCACATCCTGGATATAGTGTATGGTCCTAACTACGTATTGGTAAAGGAAAAAATCTATGTTATTTGGTAACACGAACTTGTTAGAAGCTGGTGGAAAGTCACTACGTCCACCACAACCTAGTAAAATTATTATCTTGGTTTTATATAAACCAGTGCGAGCCTCTGCTTCGCAGAGGCTCGCACTGGCCCTACGTTCTGCCTTACATTCCCGCATAATAATGACATTGAAACTCACCGCGCTATGCAGGCTATCACGAATGATTTGTAAAACTACTCATTCTGAGAGCTTTTTTGTGTGGGATCGGTATTTTCGCGTGGATGAAACTTTTCCGAGAAGAATAAAGGCGAATTTGAACTGGTTTTTGGACTTTTTATGGTCTGGTAGTTGCCATAACGACGATGATCACAGTGGGCTACATCTGTGTGCAAAAATCCTCCCAAATGAATAAGTAAAATCTTGGCAAATTGAACATTTACGCAACTAACTTTTTTCAGCGCCATTTTCGTAAAGTAATCAACTTTAGTTCAATTTTTTGCGCTAAAGTCCATGGTTTGCACATCAGCTTGTTAATCATATCCATCATTTTGCAAAAAGTGGTGGTACACGCCCAATTTTGCCGTCCAGAAGCCAAGTGGATCCGTTTGAAGCTCAATTCTTGAGGGATCCACTCAACGGATCCGCTCGTGCTTTTGCTTAGCGGACTTTCATGCTGCCAGCATGCGCCGTGCAAAATTTGGGTTCAAGAGGTCGGCTAGAACTCGCTCCACGAATTTCGTAACGGCACACATACATACAAAAACACGTAAACAACTCTTAGCCCGTTATTATAAGTCATGATCAGGGTTGAGCGTGGGGTCAGGCGCGCCCGACCTGGGGGATTGTATTGAGGGTAAGACTGAGGGGGGGGGGGGTCGTAAATAAGAATCGAATTTATTAAGTTGGGGAGATACTATGAAAATGAAGAAGAGTCCTGTGGATAGCGCGATCACATGAAGGAGAATGGTCATAGCAACAGCATACTGATTGTTTCCACAGTGATTGTTTCAGCCAAAATTCAAATCTTCTTCTCATTTACCTTAACATATGAGGTAAACAAGGAAGCTTGCTGTGTGAAATGGGTATCATTTCCATAATCAGCATGTCAAATTACCTTTATACGCTCTACAAACCATTACCTACCGCAATTTCTAGTGTTTCTCAACGCCTAAAAAGTGTAATTTTCAAAGGTGATCAACTTGGTTTTAGAAGTGAGAAAAGTCAGCGTTTGTATACTCATAACAAGGTAACATTCTCTATAAGTCTATGCTACAAATCGGATTTCATATCGCTTTAAACAGCGAAGTAAGAAGTGCTGCCAAAATTGCAACCGGCGCGTTTTTCACGTTGAGTGCTTCAACTTCTCGGATTAGCACAAGGCCGAAACAAGTCGAATCAAGCTCAAACACTTACTGTGGGATCTTCCAGGATTGAGCTAGCGAATCATATAAAACTTGGATAGAAAAGCTTTTTCGGAAATAAAGTTAATGGGGTCAGGCGCAACCCCTCAAAAGGTCAGGCCGCCTGAGCTTTTGAGGGGTTGCGCCTGACCCCATTAACTTGCCTTCAGCATTCAAAAATCGCCCCTTTTTTGATATGAGTATTGTGTGCAAAGCCTCTTCTTGCTATATTGAAGATTTGAAGCCAAACACTCCACCCCTGTGAAAATTATAGCTCTGAAAAGAGGACTATCCAGATCTAAAACTTGCCGTCAAGTTGCGTGTGTTGTGCAATCGCAGAAAGTCGGGCCTACAGACGTTCAAAAAATAAAAACCTGCAGTGAAGGCTGGTCTTCTTCAAAATAAAACACCCTAAGGACTTGGAGGTGAAGCGGAGGGTCGTTTAGGGGCTTTCACAGGGGGGGGGGTCGTTTTTGAAGAATTTGTGCCCGACCTCTTGCTCAACCCTGGTCATGATACTAGATTTCGGAAGGGCTTTTTATCTTGAATCTAAAATGAATATAATAGTCGACTCAAGCCGCTCATGAAAAAGGTTTTTACCGAGCTTTTTGGTGCTTTGTTTTACTACAAAAGATTGGCTGCAGTTATATTGCAGTCATAGTCAGTTACATAATTTATACCGATCTTCGCTCAAGATTTCAAGTTTTTTTTTCAATATTTAGGCGTATTTCTTACTATCTACCAAGCCTAAGAATTGTCAGGTCTGACGCATTTTTGATTTATCCCTAGAAAGTCAAAGAAACAAAAGGGGACGGATTTAAGCCAGCAAAAATATTAATAAAATACTCTGAATGTATGAGCCATAATCGGCAATAGTTTTCGGTTGCAAAAGTAAACTTAAGCCTTGGCCATACCTCACGCGATTTGAGTCACGACGCGATTTAGCAATACTGTAATTATCCGTAAATCATCGTGCGCGAGTTCTGAATGGAAAACTGGGTGGAGCGTATAGCGCTTTCTAAATCTAAGAGAGTTGTAAAGACATTTGCGAGCGTTGTATATGAAGTTATCTGGCAATTTGCCAGATCGCGTGAGGGATGGACAAGGCCTTAAAATAATCCGTTACATAATATTCTTTTCATTTGTGGTACATTATGCGAATTAAAAACAGTGCAGCGCTGAGTTTGTAAAACTTTTCAGATTCATCATGTCAACGTCAAGCCAAGTAGAGAGCATGACTATCATCACCGGCGGACAGAGCAATTTTGAACGAGTTGTCCGGATGATGGTGGTAAGACTAAACGGAGGACTTGATAACTGTCCATGAAATTATGCATGTATTCTTTTTGAGTTGAGCAAATTTCCCGTAAGAGCGAAATTCGGTATCAAAAGCGATTATGAGATAAGATTTCACCTGGACTATGCGGTATGTTCTACCTAATATAAATTTATTTTCATATGATGAGAACGTGGGTGAGACAAATGCGAGGTCGTAAGAAAGCCGAACAGAAGAATGCAGATCTCGAAAATGTACGTCGTGTTTTTGAGCCGATTTCTCATGTTGATGAGGTGAAGGAGAAGGAACCACTCCACAAGTAAGCGCATATTTTTTTGAAAATTCACAAAATCAATTTTTCACTTTTCAGACGACTTCTCTACATGTCAGTCAACGAAACTAGTTTACCCTTTTATTTATGGACTACTGTAGTCTTCGTTGGATGTTTTTACAATCTCGTCACAATCGTAATCATAGTGTTTGAAGAAGTTCGCAGGAATTTTTATGACTCCTGGATTAGATATAACATTGTGTTCGATTTGATATTTTTTTGTGACCTGCTCGTTTTGACGAGAAGACGTGAGTTGGAGCCTAAGGCCCGTATGCACGTACATCCCTGCTGGGGAGGGGAGGGGATCTGAGAGGGGATGCGTCATATCTCGGTACTCTACGTATCTTTTTTCTTCTTTCTTCATCTTGCTTATGAAGTTTTTCATACACTTATACCTGAGCATAATGGATGCCAGGTTACTTCCATACAAGTTTTGTATGGAAGTATTTGCCATTTTGTGTGATCCTCTGGGGATCCCCGGGGATCCCTAGGGGATCACCTCTCATTTTCAGACATTTATCTTCCTGAGAAGTTAATGGAAACGTGCAAAAGTATACTGAGGATATACTACGGCACTGCTAAGCATGTTTTCGACGGAAGAAATGGAATCTGAAGATTGTGAATTTTTCGATGATCCCTAGCTTTCGAGTCAGGGATTCTCGAAGATTTCGATATCCTGAGATTTCACTTATTTCTACTATAAACATTTTTAGCATTGCCGTAGTATATCCACAGTGCAATTTTACAGCGTTTTCCTTGAGTTTTCAGGAATATAAATGGCACTGAAATTGAGAATTATCCCCTGGGGATCGCCTGGGGATCTCCAGGGGATCGCACAAAATAGTAAAAATCTAATCAGTTATGCCAGTAACCTGGCATCAATTATGCGCAGGTATTAGGATATGAGAACCTTCATAAGCAAGATAGAAAAGGAAGAAAAAATATACCTAGAGTAGCGAGATATGATGCATCCCCTCTCAAATCCCCTCCCCTCCCCAGCGGGGATGTACGTGCATACAGGCCTAAAAGTCTCTAGCTTATTTTCTCAAGTTTTTCTTTTACTACACCAGCGAAAACAGACCACTATTTCAGAATTCATCGAAGACGGTATACGCATGAAAGGTATAAAGGAAATGTTGTTACATCGAATAAAATCGTGAGATATTCATAATTTACTGAATAGTTTTCTTTACAAACTTTAACATGAAATAGAACATGTAATAATTACTTTAAAATGGTTTTCTCTAGGAACTGATAGAACGAAATAAAAGTTGTAATAGTTATTAGTGGATGGTTTCCATGAATTACACAACAATGATATGATCAGTATTAGTAAATTATTTTTCGTGAATCATAAAATGAAATACAAGATATGGAGAGGATCTTAGTGAATGATTTCTTCTATGAAATAGAAATGAAATGGAAGATAAATTATTTCTAGGGTGTACTTCTATCTCGATATACTCTGCATCCTTCCGACGGATCTACTGCTGTTCAAAATGAGAAACCTATCACTTTGTAGAGTCAACAGGCTGCTAAAGGTTAGAGATGTTCGATTTCTACGATTTTTTCACAACTTATCCTTGCAGTGCTATCGTATATCTGAATTCAACGCCCTAACCGAAATTCGAACGACGTTTCCCAATTTGTTCCGAATTAGCAAACTGATATTTACTTGTTTCATAATTTTCCACTGGAATGGCTGTCTATACTTCTTTATTAGTGTTTGGTATAATTTTCCGAGTGAGTTTTTTTATGTCATTGTCATTCAAGTGGTCAGCGGTTCCTGAGCGGAAAACAATCAATTAGATGTCAGCCACGCCCCTTTTGTCTGCCTAACGTTGACTAAATTACAGCGGCTCATACGCATTATGCCATCGACGCATCGCAGCGCATGATGCTGTTCATGCTTCCAACAACCTGAACGGTTTCCTCACACTCAAAATCTAATTTCAGACGCAACAATCGATGACTGGATATTTTCATACGACAAAATTCCGGACCCGATTCTCATTCAGTGTGGTGTCGATGATGCGTACAATATGACTGGGGAGAGATGTCAAATGGATCTTATACCTCCACTACGCTTCTATGAGGAACATGATAATATGACGGAAGAAGTGGACCTGGCAATGATGTACTGGGGGAACAGGTGAAATCTACTGTAGTAATAAACCCATTTCTTGCAAAAATCATATTTTCCTTCTGAGGCCCACCGCGCAAAAATAAATTGAAACAATCAGAACCGATACCAAACGCAACAAAAGCTTTTTAACCGGCTACGCTACATGAAGACCATAAAGCGATGACAATACTTTTTAGAAGGAAACATAAAACTGTGGACGTCGTATAACGATTCCTAACTCTGCGCACAGAACTGCTCGCGCCAGTACCGTTCCAGTGTAGATCCAGCGCCGTGCCGGATGGGTGCCGGCAATAGATCAATAAGGTAGCAAATCTTGGCACGGCGCGGGCACGCGATATATGGATGCAGTCACGATGCACATAACGTTCCCACTCACACGACTCTCAATTGCAGATCGCAAGCAATCCCGTTCACCAAGTTTGTCAAACAGTATGCATTAAGCTTCTACTGGTCTGCCTTGACCCTCGTCACGCTTGGAGAGCAGGTAAATTCTCAATTTTTAGTGGAAAATCTTTCTTCCTAAATTCCCAATTTCAGCCATCTCCAAACAACACTTTTCAAAATATGTTCGAAATTTGTGACACTTTACTTGGCTTGGTCCTATTTGCAGTAAGTAAACAGCGGATTCCTGTCGATAATATAATGGGTTCGGTATAGGTGATTGTTGGTGATGTTGGTAACATGGTAACCACAATGAACATGAAACGATCCGATTTTGAGGAAGTGTTGGATGGTTGCAAGAGTTATATGATTTACAGGTAAGTGCGTAGAAAACTATCTTGTCAAAGCAGCTTTTTTTAAAGGAAAGTGCACCGTCTCCTGCAAAGAAAAGCTGTGGAATACTTCTCGTATACATGGGCTCATGGCGGAGGGCAAGTGGATGAAGAGGTAATAGTTTCAGGAAGCTATTGTCAGATTCAAAAGAAAATGACAATCCGGAAGGAAGCATCAACAGAAAACTCGAAAATTGAATTCTGCAAGTGACTGTTCTGGGATATATACAGTCGAAATAACAAGTTTAGAGTTGGTATATCAATTTTGGAAAATTTTTGGGGTTACCAGGACCACAAGAATTTGGAAAAACATCCTAAAGTGAGTAGCCGAACATGCCAGTTTGATCAAAAATATTATTGGCGCACACCCAAACAGAAAAAAGAATTTTTTGGACTGTCACTGCTTGAGGCTTACTACTTTCTAAAATTTCGTTGAAGACAAAAATTCTCATTTCGACAATTTCACGCATTACTAGCGAGAAAGGCTCGAAAAGAGTCAAAGCCGCATAAGATTTCCAAAAAAATCTGCTCCTACTGTATTTTCAGGAAATCGAAGAATATTTGCCTCCCAGACTGTATGGACAGTTAGCGGTACACATTCATATGGAAACTCTCAGAAGAGTAAAACTGTTCGAAGTGAGAACGATGGTAAAAATGTTATTTTTAGTCAAAACCAGTATTATCATTTTGCAGGACTGCGAGCCGAATCTGCTCTATGAGTTGATTCTAAAGCTGGAACTGCGAGTCTATTCACCTATGGATTATGTTTGCAAGAAAGGCGATGTGGGCACAGAGATGTACATTGTCAAGGAAGGCGCTGTTGAAGTGGTCAATGAAGATGGTACAAAGGTTCGTTGAAGTACTTTGTCCGTTTTAGCCTAAAAATTTTGTCTAAAGGTATTCGTTCGACTGGGCGAAGGCACTGTATTTGGCGAATTATCTATTTTGAACATTCCTGGTAACAAAAATGGAAATCGTCGTACAGCAAACGTACGATCAGTTGGCTATTCGGATCTCTATGTACTCAGCAAGGACGATCTTTGGGCTGCTCTTAGAGAATATCCGGAAGCGAAATATTCACTCATGGAAAAAGGTTGTTCAGTTAAAGAATTTGACGTGATTACTTTGAAGAATTCACATAACTCTAGGAAGAAATATCTTGGCAAAAGACAATTTGTTGGAAGAAACGGCTGATGAAGAAGAACTCGATCAAGATGCTCCTGTCGAAGAACAGCTAGCTTATGCTGCTAAAGTAATCAAAGAGCTAGAGGCACAATTGGATGAGGCTGAAAGGAAGTTCTGGGTTTGTTACTAAATTTTTGGTTGTGAAAAAAAAATCGCATTCATCCCGCTTTGTTCAGAGTTCATCAGCCAAAGCGAAGAAAAATCTATATAAATTAGAGCAAGAAATGGATCAAGAGCTCAAGTGGATGGAAAACGAGGGATACAGAGCTGGTCGTCCAAGAGCAGCTTCATTGAGATAATTTCTTATCAGAAATTTCTCGGAGTTAACTATTGATTAGAACGGAGAAAATAAACTTTGTTGATTTGAATTTATACTTGACATGAATACGCAATAAATAATTTACTAGCGAAAAATTCTACAAGAATACAGCACTTCAAATAATCATAACTCTTCATGTTTGGATGCAGAAGATTCTCCTTCAACAGCTCGTCTGAGTTCGTCGCGTAGCTCCCATTGTATCAATTTAGTTAATTTCTCCATGTTCACAAAACCTACAGAGAAAATAGTTCAAGGTTATTCAAAGCAGATATACAGTAACGCTCAGAACGTGCAAAATTTCCGAAAATTTCGCGAGTCACAAGTTTCTCCGAAGTTTCGCGAATTTCGCTGAAAATCGGCAAAATTCCGGAATTTTGGCGGAATTTTCTAAATATTGCCATAATTCCTTCAGAATGCATGATGGAAATAAAGGAAGCGTTGTGCTCAGCTCACCAGAACAAATATTCTGGTATATCGCATTGCCTTGATTTCTTGCCCCGCTTTCAAAAGCAAATAAATCACTTCCTAACGATCACCTACCGTACCCCAAGAATGACAGAGGGATGTAAAAAAATCGCTTCGATGAGCTGAGCAACGCTTCTTTCAGATCCAGATTGCACGCATTTTGAAGGAAGTCATGGCGATATTCCGGAAATACTCGGAATTCCAGAATTTTGCGCGATTTTGGGAAATTTCGCGGAAATCCGCGAATGGACGAGATTTTGCACATTCTGTGAGCGCATTGTACAGTAATCTGATTCACATTTCAAATATTTATATAAGATCTCTATACAGTAATGCTCACTTTGAATGCACGTGTCATCTGTCACAGTTCTCAGCCAGTGCTCAATTTCAATTTCTGTATCATTGGCAATCGGTTTTTTGTGAAAGCAGCTCTAAGACATCAACATCATCTCACGCATCTTTATGAAAAGTTAAGATCAAACCTTATGAGGATCAAAGAGTACATAAGATGGTGTTGCATGAATATGCACCTGGAGAAGATCAGCAAGGAAGAGTCCAGGCATCGAAAGTCTGAAATTAAAAACAAATGATGCAAAGCACATGGTGAAAAAAAGGAAATTGAAAGAGTCTCATTATTGTGTCTTACTTAGTGAAACTGAATACACGGGGTCAAAAATTTGGGAAGATGCAGAGTTGTCATGACTCTGCCCTACATCATAATCATCAAGTTTTCAATACTTCTACCTACTGAAGCGGCTTCTGAGCTATTAGCATCAGACCACCCATGTTGATGGGCGGAGTCAGCTGAACCGCTTCTACTGGAGCGTTTTTCTCGATTAAGAATTCTTCTTTTGCAGTGGGACTTGGATCATTACTTAGTTAGAGGTACCGTTATTATACAGCATCAAAATCTCAAAATCCTCAGTTTGGGATGATGGTATCTCTGAATCATAATGCTCTTGGGAAGTGTTTTGATTCACTTACCCTTCACTCATGGCAAAAGCAGCTACCGTACTTCTTACAGTATAATTGGCTGCAAGCTTCTCAAAAGGGAGTTTGTTATGGGTTTTGGTAGTGTCATAGAATATCACCACCGGCCTGCCTAGTGAGAGAACGGTAAGCAGAGCTCGAATATCGGTAAGACGATGCTGTAAAAAATATTCCTCACTAAAAAAAGAAAAATATCACGACTAGGCTTAAACTTACTACTGATGGATGCAAATTCTCCGCTATAAAGTCGGCCATGCTCTCGTAAGTTATGTTTTCATAAAGTGTATTTGCTTTCGTGATTGTTTCTAGCGGTTTCATAGCGACGAAAGCTGGTTGATGTGCCCTGAACCACTCAAGTTTTTTGAGAGAGATCTAAAACTACATATGAACTTATTTTTTCTGACTAGAAATTCAGGAGAGAAAAGAATGAGTAAACGTGACATGAATTTGACTTACCACTTCTCTATCGGTTCAGCTATTAATTCGGTCAGATGATATTCTCCGTGATGTTCATCAGCAAAAATTTTGAAATTTTTATAGGCGTCGGATTCTCGCGTTGATCCGAAGTACATTATCACCAAGGGTCTCGTTTTTTCAAATCCTGAAAAAACGTTATTGCGCATTTCAAAAATAGCTGTTGCAAACTGAATGATTCATATATGCCGAAATAGCCCAAGTGCTGGATCCCAAAAAGTGAATCACGAGCACAGTTTCAGCCAATCACAGCACGCTTATGGAAAGCGAAGCGTGTCGGGACGCACGACAGCCAATCATAAGACTGTCACTCAGATATTGTCGCTTGGCAATTTCACTAATTACATGGTTTTCCATTCGAAAAGAGTTTTCCGTGATGCCATCTTTCTTACCTGGTACAATGCCATCCCTGTAGTAAGGAACAGCGTCCTGTGTTAGATTTGTAATTACCAGTCGCTGAAGGCTAAAAATGAAAAAAAGTGTTATTGATTGATGATTGGAATTTATTACGTTTTGATCCAATCCCGAATCATTTCGGCATCGATATCGTATAGATAGCGTTTATACTCCAATCCGTTTTCGTACGCTATTACAGTTGGCATGTCGGTAATAGAATGTCCTTCACAAATTATTTTCTAGAACTTTGAAAATTGAATTTTTTCCAAAATGTAGCAAAAAATGCTTGAGATAAACTAACCTGTGCAGAGCAATTCACTGCGAGTCCACTATCAGGCTTTTTGAACACTTCTCCGAACGCATAATAGGCGGCAAAGTTATCATAACCCTCTCGAATCGATATATTGATTTTACGATTTCTCGCACAAAGGTAATTTACCTGGCTCGTAATAAAGCACGAAAGTTGTTTGATTTTTATATATGAGTCTGTCAACTTGCTCGGAATCTTCCGCACGTGGAACCGTTAACTGGTACTTCCACCAGTCATTAGCTGAAGCTTCGGATGACTTTTGATTAACCCCATCAAAAACTTAACTTACTGTCGCTTTCTTCTGAGCGATGAAGATAAATCTCACTTGTAAATTGCAAAAATAATCTAAAATGTAAAATTTCAACTAAACTATCAGATTTCACGTCCAAATGTGTTCGAAAGCCTATAATAATCTATTCATGTAAAATATAACTGGGGAATTCACCAAATATTGATCTTCTGCATTTTCGTTTTTGAGCAAGATTGCTGCGGGGCAAGTAAGCCTGCTGATGCTAGCTAAGATATAGTTCTTGCTTATTGTTTTCTATCCATTGTTAAATCGATTTATCGACTTTTCTTGTAAATTTTGAGCTATGTGTAAAGTTTGTACAGAGGGAAAACAATAAGATATATCAAACTGTATTTCTGAATGCGTCATTGGGCAAAAGAGAAGTTCCTATCATTGTATGTCTAAGTGTTAAGATGAGCAGAGTAAATAACAGCTAATTTACAGAATATAAATTGTCTCACCTCTGCGCATCTTCTTCAACTGCGCTTTTCCTCACATGACCATTGATTTCGATGTTCGAATAATTTGAACTGAAAAGTTTCGGTAATGACGTTGTTGCTTGCTGGAAAAATGGCGCTCGGGTGTTCTTAGCTAATGTGATGAAATGTTCATTATCGTAAAAGATTTCCAGGTACTTTTCTGTTATCAGGACCATTTTTTTAAAGAAGGATATCTCTTCTGACCTTGTACCATTTTTGTTTCCAATTTAGGAAGGAGTGTCAACCTTCAGCCACATGTCAAAAAAAATTTGACACGTCATCTACATGTTTAACAGGTTTTACCAAGGGTTTGTGTTGTCAGTATTCTAGTCAGTAAAGAACCCATTTTCAAACGAACAATTTCAAAAATGAACAATGTTATAATAATAACGCCATCCTATTATCACTGAACACATAAGATTGCCCAAAATGGAGAAGCGCGCTAAAATTCCATCATCCAAGCGGCGAAATAAGCAGCAGCGAGATACTGCAAGCCATCATTTATAGTCTCTCCTGGTTAAATTCGCATCGCGGAAAGTTTAAAGAAAAAGACAAATTTGATTTATCGCTGAAGGCAATTAAGATTGTTCTGCGATAAGTTCTAGACAATTTTGCTTTTATAAAAACAATTGAAAGGCTTTAGGTGGTCAGAAATGCTTTTTATCTCACCGGATGATTTCGAGAAAACATGTCAAAATGAACTAAAACGTGTCAAATTTCTGACACGTGGCGGGGAGGCAGTCTTCGTAGAATCTATGAAAAATTGTTCTTAGACTAAAGAACCTATTTGAGAGCCTTTTGAAAAAATGGGTCCGGATAACGGAAAAGTACCGTTTCCATTCTATCTTTAACTTTCACATTAGCTTTCCAAATCCTTAGAATTCAGTCCGAAAGCGTGCTAAAAAATAGGCCACAAGTAAATCATATCATACACGCACTCATCTTGGGCTAGAATTAGTCATCCACACCCAAAGGTGGTTAAATTTTGGAAAACCCAAGTATGTGGAACAAGTTTTCGAAGTCTGGAATAGCCAGTCACTAGCAGAAAAGTTATAATTTCATCCAAGAGAACTTCGCTTCTGGAATTCGCCTATGTAATCTTCCATCTCAAAGACAACTTTGAAATCCTCAGTAAAGTACAACTGATTTCAAGCGGGCAATTGACTGGATCAGCAAGTTGATTTGTATGATTGTGAGAATCCTAATATACCTTTTAAATGCCACAAATACAGTATTTCCTTCAAGTTTTTGACATTTCTCTTTGTACTCTCCTTTACAATCGTGTTGTACAAATTCTGCACTGATATAACGGTTATCAGCATTGATCGCAGCAGTCAAACGTCGAATCGTTTCGAGAACCGCTTCATCTGAACGTCTATGTATAGAGGAATAGGAACAGTTGTCCACGTCATACCTGTAGTCGGTTGAACAACATGAATGATGACATCTAGTGCATGAGTATTGACGAAAGCATTAGTGAGAAACAAAGTGGAAACTATCACAAGCGACAGCATGGCGTTCGGGTCGACTGATAAGCACATGGCACCGTGTGGCTTTGCCACTGATGATTCTGGACATCGGGCTCTACAGAAAAAGCTGCTCACCTATATATTTCCTACTGCTTCTCGTATATTATTGTGTTTTTAGTTACCTGTTTCTGCAGTTTGGCCTTTTACCGGCTTATCAATCAATCCAGCAGAAAAATAGCTATGAGTCGTCGATTTCGTAATTCGTCTTTTTGTGCAGCAATTTCATTCCCAATTATTCAACCTCGATTTTTTGGAAATTTGTTTTCATACTTTTATATAATGTGGAAAAATGCGATTACATGGCAAGTTGCATAATGAACAGCAAATAATCTGATTTATCTGTAATCGGATTTCTAAACCCCCTCAAAACCTTGTCATTGTCTTCTTTAGCCCAAAATAAGATTGTAATGGACTTTTATTACCTAAGCCTAGCAAATAAAGGTCTCTTAAATTCATTACTTCGGCTAAAGATGACAATTACAAGTTACAAAGCTTTGCCAGGACCCATAAACAATCGAGCTTGGGGTCCTCTTGATTCTTAATCATTCAAAATTTGCGCTTCTAAATTAGAATTTTTAGAGTAAACAGATCTTTCTTCCTGCCAAGAAAGAACGCGGAATATTTTGCCGATGACTTTTGTATACACAAATTTTTTCATTTTATTTCTTTGCATCTTACAGCACTAGAAATGTATTATACTTCTAGTACTTTCCGCATCCTCTACAAATTTCAAAATGAGCATTTTCAGTATTTCAACGATGTAATGCCTCTTCTATAGTGAAAACAGTATAACCATTTTTGATCACTAAACAAATTGATGTCGTGCAGAAACTTTATTTTTCTTTGATTGACTATTTAATCAAATGAGACTTGTGGCAAATGTTAGGATCGCAACGAATTTTACATTCCTTTTTTTCAAAAACGAGTTTAACACGCATTTTTTTGAGAGAAATCAAAATTAATGTTGCATCTTCTCTATAACTTTCAAACTTTTCCTGATTTTATTCCCTTTTCTAATATTCTGCGGCTTTTCCAATTAATTGTAAGATGCTTTTTTGTCACTCCATAATATTTATCTATTATTTTTACAGAGCCCTCACATGCCGATAGGATCAAATGTTCCAAGTGTGACCGTCCTGCTAGACACTGTTGAAGCCGGTTTTGCACTGTGAGTTTTGTGAACATGGTCCGAGTACTCGATAAAATTAGGCAAATCTGTCTAAAAATATCTTTGTCCTAACACCATTACAAGTTTAAACTTTTGAGCAACTCATCTCCGTACAATAATTTTTTTGCAAGCACCTCTCCTCCCCCCCCCTCCTTTGCACTCTGCGCAGTGATTGTTTCCAATTGACTGTGATGTTTATACATGATCATGTCACGATAATGTAAACGTTAGCAACAGCACTGTTCCCTGCATCAGCTTTTCATCTTTATCAATCGATAGAGCATTCATGGAGAAAATAAAAAGGTCAGTTTTCCAATGTTTGATTATATGTTTGCGGCTTGCTAGCAGTATTTGCAGTCACGACTGAACTTGCCAGCAAAGTTTGGCGCACTTCCAAGAATTTTAATCTCCTGAGACATTGGGAATGTATAAATATGTCAATGCAGCATCAACTTGCTTAGTCATGACGAGCACATCAAGTTTTACATGCGTTTTTAAGCGCTAGGACAACCAAATCCACGAATTTTCGTTGAAAATTTCTTAAGTGTGCATATAATCTTTTACGCTCCTTCACTCATTTCCTTCACCTGCTTTCACTGATAACTTAGCACACAATCTACTCCATAAGTCGTAATCCAATACAATGTATAAAAATCATTTCAAAGCTTACTCTGTATTTGCGAAGCAAGCTTTTTTTCGTAATCTTATGATGGATTATTTTCGAATCCCTTTTAACAAAGGAACGATTCATTTTAAAAAATACAGTAATTTTTTGAGGTACAGTCGAATAGGTTTAGCGGTAAATATAGTGTGCTTACACAGAAGGTGAAATGCGGTGAAATTTGCGCGTGAACAAGTAGCCACGCCAGTACGGCGGGCATCGCGCGCGCGCAATTGGCCGGCGTCACAGTCGAAGCTATTTTTTCACGCGCAAATTTTACCGCATTTCACCTTCTGTGCAAGCACACTATATTTACCGCTAAATCTACTCGACTGTACAATCGATGGGATGCGGTGCAGGAGGAACCAAAGGCCTGCCGCCTGTAGCCGCAGGAGATAATTAGGAGCGCGAGCGCTGCGGAGAAGATTTTGGCAAGGATCTAAGAAAACTTGGCAAGGATATCCCTTAGGGACAAACTCTCATAACTCTTCTTGGAATTAACTTTCAAGGATACAAAGCACAAGTTTGGAATTAGTATTGAAATGGGCATTTTTCAGTAATACGCCTACCGCATAAACTACTCTGTCTCATTACTTGACGAGCCTTTAAAATCTACCACAATCTGGAGAGTCAAGTTCAATGTTGTGTGAAATTTTAAGCGAACTTTTTAGTGAAATTTCCGGATTCGAAGTTGAAAGTAGGAACTGGTGATCAGGAAATAATGTTAACTCAGTTGCATGTGATGAACTTTTGCTAATGTGTACAGCCTCGAAAGGATTACCGACACAGTTTCAAAAACAGCAAACCTTTTGAAATCTATAGTGTCAAAATTTGAAATTAGAATAGTTTCGAAGTTATGAGTCAAACTGCATATTGCATCTTGACTCAAGCCTCAGATGTGTTCATTCATTCTTATGACATTTTGATTTTGGTTCGTTGACTCAAAAGGCAAAATATTCCTTTATCTCAAACAAAAAAGAATGAATTTTAAATTAAAATCCTGGTCCTCAACGATCTGTAATTTCAAAATTCATATAAAACAAAAAGTTACTATAAGAAAGTTGACTTTCCTTATCTTTGCAATTTCAAATTTTCACTTACTTTTAGGATCAGTAGATGCGCCTTTCAATTTGCATTCAAAATCTGTTTTTCAAATTTTTTGAGGTCATTTTCAGGCAAAGTTATGAAGATTTGTTTTTAAGGGATATCCTTGCCAACTTTTCTTGGATCCTTGCCAAAATCTTCTCCACAGCGCTCGCGCTCTTAATTATCTCTTGCGGATACAGGCGGCAGCCCTTTGGTTCCTCCTGCACCACCCCCCAATCGATGTCACCCAAGGGTCCGCTTTTCCGTGACAGCTACGCGTTCGCACCGCAAGACTCTAGCGCGTCGACCCGTTTCGATGAGGCAAGTTCTAAATGCGCAAGCTATACGCGCGTGAACGCGGCGCGAGGCTCTGGTGTTGCAACTTGGCTGGTGGAAAAGGGAGCACATTGTTGACCCAGACTGTATACATTGTGGCAATGTGTGCAGCGGAAAAGGTTTTTTTGTTGAAGTGTGCAACCGCTTTTAAAGGCAGCGTCCAGGCAGATCTGGACCTATGGGGCTTTTACGTGGAAAGTACTTTTGGAGCCCTAGCTAAGGCACTGCCCAAGCGGCAGCTCAGGTAGTGCTGTAATGGCTGAGATAGTCCCCTCGGAACTGGACCCCGCGAACGTATTCGCATGAATTCATGGCAGTTTCGCGCCAGGATCCACGCTTTACGCCATGAATCCATGGGAAACACGGTCGCGGGGTCCAGTTTCGAGGGGAATATCTCAGCCATTACAGCACTACCTGAGCTGCCGCTTGGGCAGTGCCGTAGTTAGGGCCCCAAAAGTACTTTCCACGTAAAAACCCCATAGGTCCAGATCTGCCTGGACGCTGCCTTTAAAGAGTGTGGCCAGTCAGGAGGCCCAAATCTGTTTCCTACCGTTTTTTTTCTTTTTTTATCTTCCTCATTGCCGGGGCACATAAACACTCTTCGAGTAATTAATTTTTCTTCACCTGAAGTGTCAGTTTCTTTTTGAGACTGTGTGTTGCATACTTTAGCGATGTACCTACCAACTGCGTACGCTTCAAGAAAACGTGGGCAAACACTATGGATACATGCAAATAGCAAATAGTCTTAAAGTCCCGAGTCGTCTATAATAGTCGGCTTCATAGTGCTCTGCATGATTTATGAGAAGATTCGTCACTGCCGCAGCGTCTCGTGACAAGAATGGGTAATCATTATGCAAACATTTGTAGCAAAGCGTTTCTGTCTTCAACAAGATATCCACATTCTACTCGCTAGGTTTCCATTCAACTTGCTTGCAAATGGAAAATTCGTGAGATCTACTCTCCTCTCCTCCTCTTCCCCTCCGTCATTGTTATTGACACCCGGAAGGGAAAAACAATCGACAAATTGCAGACGCAGCTCCCAAAATTGTCAAGTTAATTACGAACCACCACAAGTGCATGAGCTGAATATTCATAACGAATTGTTTATATTCACCCTCTGTAGCATATGTATAGAAATTTCCCACAACAAATGCATACGAAAGGGCCGGGCATACTTCACGCACTCTCAGTCGCGACGCGATTTGGCAATTCGCCAGACGTCTTCAGATCCTACACTAGCATGCTGCATATGCATAGAGTGTATAACTTACGTGGATTGACAAAATGTCCTATCTTCTGTACATTTAAAATGTGGTTACAGTGAGTTATGGACAGTTGGAATATTGCCAAATCGCGTCGCGACTGAAATTCGCATGAAGTATGCCCGGCCCTTAGAGCAGCCAAAAAAAAAACTGTTCCATATTTCAAGTAATAGGTAACCTATAGCTTTTATAGCACTAGCTGCTATTGTATTTGCAATGGTCAAAGCGAAAAGTAAGAAAATGGCCGATTGCTTCTTGGTTCAACATTTTAATCTGGATACTCTGTAAAGAGGTCCTCTTATCAAATTCTTGATTTTTGGTCCATTCATGCGGTCTACAAACTAAAAGGAGATATGGCCTTGCGAATCACTCAAAACTCTTGCTCATCTCTCTCCAAAAATGTAAAATGTATTGGCCGAACTTTATTTTTGTACGTCTTTTGTTGATCTTCACCTGATCGCATTCGAACACTGCTAAAGCTCTTGTATTTCCATTTAAACTCACATGAACTCTTCAGAGTAAGCGGTAGACTCTCGTAGTGTATGTAAGTCAAATGATTTTGGAGTTAAAATTCAACTTTGGCATTTACACAAGATTTCAGGGTTTGTAGAATATACAGCGCTATAACGAAGTAGTTTGCTCTGCTTTCTCATACCATCTGACTTGTGTCCTATCTCGATCATCACAATTTTGTATGTTTTGCTAGCTACAATGTGAAACATGTTCAATTTTGTGCTAAAATTATGCACTTCGAGTCCAGAGAGTTCGTGGAAGCCTTAGACTCTCAGACCCTTGCAGATGTGCAATTGCACACCTGTTCAATTTATCTAATTCAAATAAAAAATTGTGTTGGCATGAATGATTGATTACCACTTGAATTTCTTGTAAATGCTTGCGAACAGTTTCCAATCCTTCATGCTCGTTAAAAATGCAAGCATGCCCTGAAAGGCGTCAGCCTTCTTCGGCTGGACCGCAAATGTGCTCGACATGTTCACGGTGCAGTGACGTGATCGATGTCGTCGGTGCTCGCTCGGCTTCTTATTATGGAGCGGCCACGTCGTCCTCATTACAAATGCTTATGTAGAGTCGAGCTTCATACAAATTCTTATCAAAAATCAATTTATGGAATTGTTTGAACTAATTCTGTAACAATATTCCGACTGTTTAATGAGTTTTTGAGAATATATTTTCTTTGTATTTGTCCAGCTTTCAAATCTCGCTACTTACTCCATGTTAGCCTTTGTTTGGTCAGGAACACGAAGGGCGCCGTTATCAAAATGTTTACTAAGCTTGCTCGTATCGATTTGTTTTTCTTTTGGCCCGATGACTCTCCTTGTTTCCTGGTAGTGTCGAATCGGCTTGTCCCTGTAATGATGGATTTGCCTGTAATGTAATCTGCAGCGATAGATGATGTCTTAATAGAAAGTGCATTCTACATAATCCAATCATTGCACCCATAGTGTAGGGAAAAATCACTTTGGGTTCAGAAACGGTGCTCACATTATTCTAGGCACTTTTTGCTTAGCGAAGCTGAAAGCGACACTTCATGCTCTGTCTGTCATTCAGTAATGCTTTAGTCCACATTGGAAGTTTTCTTTTCTTGCTTTTGGTCATTTAACTCTGAAGGTTGTCTTTGCGCTCAATTTTGAGCTCATTTCAGCTTTCATCAGCCTCATATGCTCGGTTTCTTTAGCTTTTGAGCAGGTTGGGGTTTCTTACTCGCTTTTTAATACTCAGTTTGTATATCATATTCGAGACGTCGCTTTCATAATCATCTCCAAGCATCAGCTTCCACTTCCTACTCAGGCTTGTTCTTCCCCGTATCTTTTAAGCTTCCTTAGCTGTTTTGAGTAAAATATTGTGAACCCAGTTAATTTTTCACTAGGGGAATATGTAGAATATATAATCAGCTTCAAATTTGTGGTCCGGTCTGCTCATCTTTTGCTTTAACCACGTCCAGGTTACCATTCAGGTTCGAACAAATGGCGCTGCGCAAGGTGCGCAGCAACCTTGACAGGTTGTTCGATAAGAGCCTCACAGACTTGATACGCGGCATTCGAAACAATAAGGAAAATGAGGTCAGTGAAGTTTTTTTCTGGTTATAATTTAGTGGAAACTATTCACTCAGCGTCAAGAGGCATCATTGCTTGTTTTTCGTGCGGCCCTTGCGAGTTTAAAGTGCGATGTTGTTGAAGTTTTCGAAGTCCTTACAAGTTTAAGTACGCTACGGCGCTTGGCGGTTCTTATGATGTCAACTTTTTGATATGTTTATCGAATATGCTAGACGTTTCTGCGGATATCGTTCTTGTGTGGTGATTTGTTACGAACAGCTAGAGTCAGTATGATTGCAGCTCTGGGCCTTTACTTTGTAAAATTGCATCAGAGTCGTTATAGTATGAAACTGACTATAAGTGTGACGTTTGGCGAGTGAGGTGTGGAAGGACATTTTTATAATTTGTCAAATAATAACGGAGCTAGAGTCAGCGTGATTGCCAGCTCTGAGCCTTTACGCAATCAAGCTGCTCTAGAGCCGTTTTCCGTCATAGGGGTGATTATACAGTTCTGTAAATTGTATATCTAAATCGTGTGCAGACTCGGATAACATAACTGCCTAGATATACCGCATTGCGCCTAGTTTCACACTTACTGATTCATAAAATAGTTTGTTTTGTTCATGAAGTAGTAGTTCTTCAGCGATCCTCTTTTTCAAAAAGGGTTATAAAAATCACTTGTGCAAGCGTATACTCATTCTCAATAGCTATTTCTTGATGAGAAATTGCGGAAATTTTCAAATCATAACTTTTGTTTAGGCTCGATATATCGCGTCGTGCATTGAAGAAATTAAGATGGAACTTCGGCAGGACTCAACGTACATCAAAGCGAATGCCATCGAGAAACTCGCATATGTGAGCTTGTCACAACTTTATTAGTATTTTTTTGTTTGACGTCAGCAGCAAGCATTCAACCGGTTAGCGTATTTGCATTGTGGTAGTTTTTCACGTGTCATTCCACTATTCCATCTGTTGCTGCCATAATTTTTCCGCTAGATGAGGTCTGGGAAATGGCTCCGGAATGAGCATAAGATTTATGGGGAAAATCTGGTCTCACGTTTGTCATATTCCGCTGCAGCAGAATTATCCGCTTAAACGTGATACTCATCTTTTTTTTTGGATTGCTGGACAAGTCCTCTGCAAGCGCTCAGGACAACTGATGCATCGTTGTTCATTAGCTTCGATGAAGTGCATAAGATAGACTTAAAACAATTTTTATACGATTTTGCCCGAAGGGTTTTGTCACGTATCGGTGAATGAGACCTATCCATTTCAGCTTCAAATGCTTGGCTACGACATTTCTTGGGCGGCTTTCAATATCATCGAAGTAATGGCGTCCACAAAGTACACAGAAAAGAGGATAGGGTTTGTACCTTGTAATCTTCGATTTCTTGATGTTTTGACTGCTGAAGCGACAAATTTAGTTATTTGGCTGCAGCGCAGTGCTTCCATGATACAACAGATGTGTTGATGTTGACTACGAACTTAATACGGAAAGATTTGAACAGGTAAGTCTACAAATGCTCCTCACTTTAATGTTATATTGGTCTTTTTTAGTACGAATATTTATGATTCTGGCGTTGCACTTGGTGGACTGTCTTGCTTTGTTACCCCAGATTTAGCGAGAGATCTTGCTAGTGACATAGTAAATCTGGTAAGTTTACAACCAGTCTGGTAAGAGTATCATTTGCATATTGATCTGGCTCATAAAATCTCTGTAGCTATCTTCATCGCGGCCGTACACTCGAAAACGAGCGGTACTGCTGTTGTATAAAATCTTTCTCAAATATCCGGAAGCTTTGAGACCTACCTTCCCGAGATTAAAGGATAAGCTCGAGGATCCGGATCCAGGTGAGCAAAGTTCCTATAGATCTATTTTTTGGTGTTCATACTTTAAATTCGTCTACCCTCGTTCTTCCATATCTATTTCATCTCTTTCTTAGTTCAGACGACTGGCTGAAATAAAGTCTGACCTATATCAGTCACTCAGTCAAGTCTTCCACTGCTCTGACTTTTTCTTTTATGTTTACTTACAGGCGTCCAAAGTGCAGCTGTAAATGTGATTTGCGAGCTGGCTAGAAAAAATCCAAAAAATTACCTAACATTAGCTCCTGTATTCTTCAAACTCATGACTACATCAAGCAACAACTGGATGTTGATAAAAATTATCAAACTGGTAAGCATTCTTCTTTGAGTTGGTTATCTCGCCAATGCTCCAACATACTTCCTCGTTTTCAGTTTGGTGCACTTGTGCCTCTAGAACCTCGTCTTGGTAAAAAACTTCTCGAGCCCCTTACGAATCTCATTAACAGGTAAATTGTCGCGTTCATTCTTTCCTTGTGTTTCTATTTATCTCTTCTTTTGAGTAGTGGTGATTGCTCATTTGTTAAGAAGACCTTGTCTAATCTATATAGCATTTGATTTCAGCACATCGGCAATGTCACTGCTATACGAATGCATCAATACTGTGATTGCTGGTATGTTCACAAATCACGTTTGTTTTTTTCCTTCCCTAGTCCGACTCTTTTTGCAGTTTTGATCAGCATATCAGCAGGAGGAGATCATGCTGCAAGCATACAGGTAATCCCTTCACTTCCTTGTCCTACTCGTTTCATTATTGAGGTGTATTTTAGCTTTGCGTGCAGAAACTTGGGGTTCTCATTGAGGATTCTGACCAAAATCTCAAGTATTTGGGATTGTTGGCAATGGGCAAGATTTTGCAAACACATCCAAAAGCTGTGCAGGCTCACAAAGACATTGTGCTTCGGTGTCTGGACGATAAAGATGAGAGTATACGATTAAGGTCGGCTATGACACCTTACACATGTCCTTTCAGGCATTTCGGTCATTTTTGAGAGGAATGCTGATTTTGCAGATCCCTGGATCTTCTGTATGGCATGGTGTCCAAGAAGAACATAATGGAAATTGTAAAGAAATTGATGGAACACGTCGAGTCAGCTGAGGGTTCACATTACAGGTGTGTTCCTGCCGCTATCTCTATGCTTCTGGGTGAACCAGTACATCCTTTTCTTTCAGGGATGAGCTACTGACAAGAATAATCGGAATATGTAGCTACAATAATTACCAGTTTATCACTAACTTCGAATGGTATGTTTTTGACATTTACAGTGATTTTGATTCACACATTTGTCCTGAAAACTTTGCTTGAGGTACATTTCGGTGTTGGTAGAGCTCACAAAAGTCGAAGGCACAAAACATGGTGCAAAGATCGCGGAACAGGTATGTGATGACCATTTCTTGAGCTTGATTTTCTTAAAAATTTTATATTTTGCAACAAGTTTTTGATTCTTCAGATACAAGATGTCACTGTGCGCGTGGAATCTATCCGGCATTTCTCTGTATCGCAGATGGCTTTGTTGGTCAGTTCATTTTATTTCTTCTTTTTCATCGTCCTCAACTCTAATTTGAGGTTGAAAATGCTCACGTATTGCTGGCTGGTAGTGCACAACAAAGAAGCAATATTTCTGAAGTGCTGCTGGCAGCTGCTTGGATCTGTGGAGAGTACAGTCAGTAAGTGACTTGAATTGTTTGCGTATGGCAAGAGTATCAAAGTTTTGTTCTCATTCTTGCTTGATTAAAAAATGTTTCACCTTCTAGACATGTCCGAAATGTGCAATCGGTACTGGAGTCAATGTTGCGAGCGCGTACATCAGTGATGTCCGGTCATATTTTATCAGTCTATGTACAGAATATTGGCAAATTGTATAGTACTTTGCTGTCCAAAGCTGAAGAGGTGGGCCATTCGATTTCACTGCTTTTGAACAATTCGTCTTCGTCAGGATGATGACTGGGATGCGATCGAATCCCTTGATAATCTCATGCTTTCTAAATTAGCTGACTTTGAGCTTGCGGAACATTTAGAGGCGCAAGAGAGAGTAAGTTCAACATCCATTGATTGCTTCCTCATTTCCACCACCATGGTTTTAGGCATGCACCCTGATGAGTATACTACGGGTTGCTGAAACAACTCATGCAAATCGTGAGAAAATAGCAGACGATATAGCAAAGCTCTATGAGGGAGAACTGAATCCGGTTGCTGCCAAAGCTCAAAAGAAAGTGCCGATACCGGAGGGGTATGTTTTTCTACCTCAATTCTGCTTCTGTTTATCTCTGTTCATTTTCATTTTAGTCTCGACCTCGACCAATGGATCAACGAGCCATGGGAGGACACACCAGAATCGAGCGAAGAAAGTGATGTTGAGACTACTTTTGGGCAGGTGAGACCTGTTAGAAGTTGCTCTTGTCGTGAAGTTACTTTTTGCTTGTATCGCAGTTTAAATGCATTTATGCGCCTAATATTGTATTTCTCCAGCCAGCACCACGTATCCGCAGCGAATTCACAAGCTTTGGATCTGTACCAACATACGAAGATGAACCGAAGTTTGGTGAAAAGCCTAGAAAGAATAAGAAAAAGGTAGGTCGATAGCTTGTGACAGTAGCTAACTCTTTTCTCAAATTGTTTCTACCAACGTTTTTCAACTGTTTTCAATTATTTTTTTTCTTATGCCTTTTCAAATGTTCAATACCATTTTTACCTTATCGTCTCAATGTAGGAGGCTGTTGAACTCTCTCCTGAAGAAATTGAGAGAAGGCGCAAAGCGAGAGAAGCAGAACGAGAGAGCAACCCTTACTATGTGAAAGGCACTGCCGCGCCAAAACGTCCCACTCGATTTGTTACTATGGAATCAATGCATGCTAATGACGGCGATAAGATCGACATCCAGAGTCCTTTGGAGATTCCAGGCTGGTGTTCCTATCGCTTCTGTTAGTTATCTTTTCTCATTGTTGACCGTTTGAAGGGGTTGTGGGTTTATCTCGGTATATGGAGCAGCAAGATTCGACATTGACGTGGAAGGAGGCTAAGGAAGACGTGAAGAAGAAGAAGAAGGGAAAGGGAAAGAAAGGAAAGAAGAAGCGACGTGTCAGCACTTCCAGCGAAGAGGAGGTGACTGTAGTGCATCAGGTAAATTACGTAATTCTTATTGTTTTCAAAAAGATTTTTCTGTTTCTTCGTGTTCGATCTCATTGGTGAGGAGGATCAGATTTTTTATAGGTAAATCGTGCTGATGGTGAAATGCCAGAGGGTGCAAAATCGACGGACGACGAGGACGACGCAGCTGTAAGCCACTGTTTTTTTCTTCTGTGTTTTCAGCTTAAAATGATTTCTTAGAAACTTGCTTCCGATGAGTTCCGAGCTCTCGACATCAATCTTGATGAACCATTGAGACCTGATGAGGTGGTTCGAGGGCCTCCAGTTTACAATAGACAACGTGCAACATCACCGCGAGGACCGCTTGTGCCACGATCACCCACAGCAACTTCGTACCAAAACCGTGCTCCACTCGACTTAATCGAGCCTATCAAGAAAAAGAAGAAGGAGAAGGCAGTGAAAGACGACGGGGTACAAAAGAAGAAAAAGAAGAAGAAGGCACCAGCAGTTACCCACACTGAGAATGCTATCGCAGCTCCTCACGATGAACTGGACATTGATGCTTGGTTAAGAGACGAGCAAGCACCGGCACCTACCGTTGTTGAAAATTCCAAGGTAATTTTTCGGATGCATTTCCCAGTCCTATGAATTTTCCTGCATTTGAGCCCGAAAAGAAGACGAAAAAGAAGAAGAAGCTGACTGTTGCGAGGGAAGCTTATGAGGTAAGATTGAATATTGTTTTGGTTTTTTGATGTGTGACTTTCAGGAAACCTCAGGTGTCTGCACTCCTTCAAATCCCAATATCGACCGCATCTCGCCAAAGACCAGTCATTGCACAACGCCTGGTAGCGCGAAACTTTGCTCCAATTCTGACCTTGTCGTGGTAAGGATCACCTTCTAACTATATTTTTGCGTCTTATCACCATTTTCCTACTACTTTTGATTTGAATCAGTGTCTTCCACTTCTGAAAGCGTCTTGCTTGTATAGGACTACGCAACAACCGCTAATCCTGGCAGTGAAGAGGTCATAATCAAACTAGGATTGATTATTCCTGGCCCACGTCGACTGAAAGATATCGAGGCAAATGTTGTTGACACGCTCAATGCTCGTATGGTTAGGAGTGAGGTAAGCGATTGGTTGCATTTTCTAAGTAGGTAATCTAGCAATCATTTTTTTAGCCTGGATTCTTACTGCCGACAGCATTATCACCTGGTGATCATGGTGAACTGCGTTTGCATATAGCTCTTGTTTCTAAGACAACATCACAGACCTTGAGAGGGACAATAACTTACCTTGCTGAGGTGGGTTGGATAGAATGCTTTTTTCTGTCATTGGTCAAGTTTCGGTTGCAGTTAGAATGGGTTAGTATTCTTGCGCATAAATTTGAGTGTTTAGGAGGAGGACGGGTCAGTTCCTGGAAAGCTTGATTTCAAAGTTCCCTTGCGATCTACAGACTCACTGCTCTCGGTGGCGATAAGCAAGTTTGTGGTTGTTTTCTTTTCGCGTATTAACGGCATTTTTGTCTTCACTTTGGTTTGCAGAAGTGACTTTTCTCAACTTCTTGCCGACGGTCCTGTGGACTTCTCAGCTTCAGCTCAGTTTGCTTCTGAATCTGGTTTTCGTGATCTTCTTACAAGGATCACCTTTGTTGGACATTTGTCAGGTTAGTGTGCATTTATAATCTTCATTCATTTAAGATGATCATTGAAAACTTGTCAAAAGTGAGATTTGAATGAGGGAAAGACTATGTTCTTGCAAGTTCCTGCATTTGTGCTCATTCTTTTCAAATCTTTAGCTATTTGTCAACGTCACATTTTGCGGTTTTTCATGAGCCTCAGAAATCCTTCCATTCAATTCTGTTGAATTTTTTTGTTATTGCAGTTGTGGAAGAGGTCTCTTCAGCTGCATCGCTGTATGCGACAACTACATCGGGAAGTCCTGTGTGCGTGTTATTGAAGAAAAATGTAAGTTTATAGCTTATTCAACTTTTCTTGAACTGTAGGACGTTTGTTCCAGGAAGAGAATGTCCACATAGCTTGCAAGAGTGGTGATCAAAAACTGGCTGACGTTATAGTCGAAGATTTAAAGGACATTTGCACCAGAAGATGATTTTATTTGAAGAGTCAGGCCTGCTTTTTTGAATGCACGCAAAGTTTTGAAATTATGTACAGTTTATATACTTTACTCATCTGACGTTTCCAAAGTTCCAAAAACCATTCAAGTTCATTGCCCAATAGTAGACAAGGAAGCTTTTTGTTTTTACCAATCTTGCATGTTTTACAATAATTTTGTAAGAGCAAATAGCATCCCTTGTTATGCATACGGGGGTGTTACTATCTTCCAATAGTTTGTTGCACATTTTCTTCTCACTCTCACTGTTGTGCATGTGCGAGGTCTTTTAATCATATAATCGGCTATGCTCATCCTCAAAAAACGTTTTTCGATTTGAAACTCTTTTCTACGTGTTCTGTTGCTGTAATTTATTGTTTGCATTTACATGAGATTGACATTCCGTGAGAGACTTGGATACGAGACATCATATTTACGCTGACTTGACATCTTCTTTCTTTCTTTCCTCGTTTTCTACGTCTGGTGAGCACTGTGTTACTTTCTTTAGTCAAAATCCTCCATAAAATTAATGCTTTTACTAGGAAAAATTTATTTCATTTACTCGAGGATTGTTGATGATTGATTTTAAACGGAGGATAGCTTGCCCCTAGCATCTAATTTTGATAATGTTCACTTTGCATAAGCTTGTATAGTAGTGGTAACAAGATGCATAAATATCTGTCTTATGAGACGTGGTATAAATATTACGTCGGGAGTAATGTTTAGGACCATTCTTCAAAGCCAAGTTAAAGGGAGCAACGGTTGATACAGGCTATATAGTCGATCGCCACCGCTAACTATCGCACAACTATGCATTTTCGGAACTTTTGTTTAGAAGATGTTATGGGATAGGGTGCCTGGCTTTCTTGTCGACACACAAAAATGAGCTTTTAGCTATGACTGTTAGCCGTCTGACGTATTGCATGACGTTTTCGCAAACAGATGGAAGGAGCTTTATTTCGAGAAGAGTACAAATGAAAAGATGACGAGCGAAGTTCGAAGCCAAAGTCTAAGATGTGTATATTGAGGCTTTTTTTATAGAGAGTTAGATTTCTCGCAGGGTTGGGTTGATAGTGTGGCGTCATAATGAAAAAATCATTGAGAAGGATAGTCTTTCATGACATCATTGCTGTCTTCGTCAAGAGACGTAAAAGGATAAAAAAGATTGTGAGTAACATTTCCACACATTGACGTTATGAAAAAGAGGTCCAATAATATTGGCATTGCTTGTTGCATAGAGGCACTCAAGGAAGCGATCCCTTCATCTCGCGAAGCGGGTGCTTTCTTCTGAGAAAGGGACCGCAGATCGTATGAAAGCAGGCTGGACTTGTTTTTGGGGCAAAAAGCAAAGATATCGTTTTTGTGTTCAAAAATTGACTTTCATAATCGACGTTTCGTTTTTTGAGGGTTTTTACGTTTAGGGCTGAGAGTCAAAGGGGACTTCGTAAAATCCCGCGAAAGTCAAGGGGGACTTCGTGTTTAAGAAGCCTAGAAATGAAGTCATGTCGGGCCCTGGTCTGAGACGAGCCTTTACCTCTTCTCGAGCTTAAAGGCAGTGTCCAGGCAAATCTGGACCCTTTGGTTTTTTGCATGGAAACTGATGGGGACCACTGACTAAACCACTGCCCGAATTGCAGCGCACGGGACTCACTCACGGCAGAGAAATCGGCCTCCGAGCCCGTCGCCCCCGCGCCGTGACCGTACCACTTCAGCCTAAACGCACAGCACGGTCCCGGCGCGAAACCATGAGGACAGGATGTAGCGCGCAAACTCGTTGCACAAATACTGCAAATTTCCTAATTCTTCTGCTTTTCGTGAATTGCCCTTGTTTTCCATGTTTATTGCGGCGGCTTCTCTCGGCTGCCTTTTCCGCGTTGTTCATGGTGTTTTCGTTGATTACATTTGAGATATCTTCATTTTCCGTGCTATTTCATACCCTCCCAACGAGTTTCCGCGCTACATCCTGTCCTCATGGTTTCGCGCCGGGACCGTGATGTGCGTTTAGATTGTTGAAGTGTTACGGTCACGGCGCGGGGACGACCGATTCGGACGCCGATTTCCCTGGCATGAGTGAATCCCGTGCGCTGCAACTCGGGCAGTGGTTTAGTCAGTGGCTCCCCATCAGTTTCCACGCAAAAAACCAAAGGGTCCAGATTTGCCTGGACACTGCCTTTAACGACTTTAACCGAATACTGGTAGCTTTTCAAATTGATTGGGTATAGGGTATTCTTGGTAGAGGAGAAAGCTAACATTGTTAAAAATCATCAAGGCTCTGTAATGATACTAAACGCTTCATTTCTAACCCATTGACGATGACACCTAATTTGGCGGCGCTATGGGACGACGCGATTTTGCACAACACTTTGGGTGTGGGAAGGTTTTGTGGTTATTTACGAAATGCAATGTTTTGTTAACAATTGTGGAACATTTTTTTAAACGACGGAGCCTACGGGCCCCAATAGTGCAAAAACTTCAAAAAAAATATTGATATGTGGAAAAAATATTAGACCTACAAATGGGGGTGGTGCAGGAGGAACCAAAGGGCTGCCGCCTGCATCCGCAGGAGATAATTGAGAGCGCGAGCGCTGTGGAGAATATTTTGGCAAGGATCCAAGAAAACTTGCCAAGGATATTCCCTTAAGATCAAATCTTCGTAACTTTGCCTGGAGATGGCTTTGAAAAATTTGAAAAACAGATTTTAATGCGAATTGGAAGTTGCATTCACTGGGCCCAAAAGTAAGTGAGAAATTGGAATTGTAGTAGTAAGGAAAGTCAACTTTCTTATAGAAACCTTTTGGTTTATAAGTTTTGAAGTTACAGATTAATGAGGAGGCTTGAGTCAAGATGCAATTACAGTTTGTCTCATAACTTCAAAGCTATACCGATTTTGAATTTTGACACTAGAGATTTCAAATTTGCCATTGAAACTAGATATGTCGATGATCCTTTCGAGGTTGTACACATTAGATAAATTCTATTAGTTTATCACATGCAACCACTTAGTTAACATTATTTTCTGATTACCAACTATACTTTGGACCGAATCGAATAAATATTCGAGTATTCGAATAAAGTATTTGAATAAATACGCAGCGCAATATGTAAGAACTCCAGCTCTTACGTATTGCGCTGCGTCGCAAGAAAGATCAAATGTACACTTGGTTACACAAATGTATATCAAAAGAGTTACGTTGTTCACGTTTCCTAGACGATCGTCTCTGGAGGAGAACAGAGGTGCTTCAATTTCGATCTGCGACCAAATTCGTTCTAGTGCCAAAACAACTTTGCAGAGGAAATTCGACAACCTTTTGACTAGATCACGGGATAAGGTTGCTACCGAGCCAATTTCTCAAATACCTCTAGATAGGAGTGAAAGTGAGACTAAAACCTCAGACCGTAAGGCAACATCACGAGTAACTGTAATTGGAGGTTTCCCCTTTCCGCAAATGCACGTTCTATTCTAGAGTTAGGGCCAAGTTTCTCACCTTCACAGCCAATTTCCAAAGTCGTCCTACGCAAAATCACATGCAGTCTACATGACCTTCAAGATAAGCTTCGCAAGCACGCAAATCTAGAAAACGGGAGCGAGATTCAAAAATCTTCTCGTACATGCCTATCAATACCTTTTCCGAGTACCTTCTTTAAGCAACAACAGGCCAACCCCAGTGTCGATATCAGGTTCCGTCTCTTTGCGGACGAAGTCTTTAAACTTATAACACGGGTGCGCCAACGTAAAATAAAGTCTAACCTCTCTCACCTACAAAAACAGGGCATAAAAGAGATACAAGAATTGATAAGATCAACTCAAGTAAGACTATCAGTTAGTGATAAAGGTGGCGAGTTTGTAATCATACCCCACCACTTAGACGTTGCGATAACAAAACTACATTTAGAGGACGTTTCGCTTTACCGCGCTGCTTCCGTTGACGAATTTCAGAAACAGTATCGTGAGCTCAATAAGAAATGGATTGAGGTAGCTAAAGCAGCGAACATGTCACACGATGTCATTGCGCGTCTCAAAATTGATCTACCGATTTGCCCCGTTTTGTACTTGTTAATAAAAACGCATAAGCTTGATTCCGACAGCGATTTGGCCTCTACTAGTCCTTCCAACTTTAAGGTGAGACCAATCATAAGTTGCATAGGAGGACCCACGGATAGAATTGGGTGGTTCATTACACTGATACTCACGCAACTACTCAAATTCATCCCCTCTCATCTGGCCAACACGAAAATGTTTTTGGAACGTTTCCGCGCAACATGCATAAATAGCGAGTGTGTCATAGAATCTTTTGATGTCAATGCACTTTACACGAATGTCCAAAACGAATCTGCATTGCAGGCTGTGCATGAGCTCCTTGTAGAAAACGAAAATTCCATCAACCTCTACGGATTCTCAATACAGCAGATTATGACTCTCTTGCAAGCATGTCTGAACTGCAACGTTTTCAAGTGGTCCGGGAGCTATTATGCACAAAAAAGAAGGTTAGCCATGGGACAAAGGTTGGCTCCCACCCTTGCGATAGCTTACATGGCAAAAATTGAAGCGCCTGTGCTAGGTCGTTCGCTGCTATACTGCCGCTATATTGACGATTGCTTTCTAGTCTGTGCTTGTCAGGAAGATATGGATAAGTGTTTCAATTTGTTGAATGAGCAATCTCAATATATACAATTGACAAGAGAGAAGCCGAAAGATCAGTGGTTACCATTCTTGAACGTGCAGGTTAATATCAGTTATGGTGCGCACACGACAAAATGGTACCGCAAGCCGAGTAATAAAAATATTCTTGTCCATTCACTTTCGGCCCATCCGCCATGGACGAAGAGAGCCATTATCAACAACATGTTTCACACTGCTTCTCAAGTCTGTAGTGGTCCGAAAGAAAAGACAGAATCGATAGCGCTTGCTCGTAGAATAGCGGCCTCTAATGGATACGGACAGCATGCAGGTAGAACAAAGAAAAGTGCCAAAGATCGCGTACAGAAAGATGTTTCCTATACGCCCAAAAAAGTTACATTTTGCGTCCCATATATATCTAAAGAAGTAAGCGCATCATTGCGACAATGTTTGAAAAGAGTAGGATTTGAAGATTTAGTTACGATTGTTGAACTACCTCCGAATAACTTGAAGACCATCCTAGTTCGCAATCGCTTGTATGATCGCAATTGCGTTACCCCGAATTGCATAATCTGCCTTGCGAGCAGAGAAGGGGACTGCATGGCAGCTGGAGTCATCTACTTGATTTCATGCGCGATCTGCGGCGACGAATACATTGGTGAAACAGCGCGTCCACTATGTATCCGTATTAAAGAGCATCTAGACGGCAGAGATAAAGCACGTACATCAACACCGCTAGGCACCCACAGAGTAGTGCAGCATGCAGGAACGAACTTTGAAATTTTAGTGAGAATCCTGGCCTATGAGTCCCAAACGCAAGCACGTAAGTGTTTAGAGGCGTTTTGGATTCATGCAAGAAGCCCAAAAATGAATCGGAAAGAGGAAAACTTAGCAATTACGCATGAACTCTCGCCTTATCTAGATCAATTATTTTGATCTGATGTATATAAATAGCGGTCTGCATACACGTTTAACGAGTCCATCTTCCTCTAGCAGTGGACAACGTGACCTCCACTTTCCTCCAGAGTGGTATCGGCGTATCCAGAAGGTACGTGCTCGAGTGCAGCTGAATCAGTGGTCGAAAACAAGGTTTAACATTTCGCCTGTTCAGCTGTAAGGCTTGTTCGAATCGGCTGCGGATCGTATTGTTGCTTACAGGCTCTGACGAAGGCGATCTGCCGAAACGTTAGCCGTCAATTGAATAAATCAATTACCAATCTCGTGTATGGCTCAAGAAGAAAGAACAAATTATCAATATCATGCCGAGATTTATTGAACGTCGCACTATCCAGTTATTTGAATAAAATTTATTCGAAATGCGATTATTCGAAAATTTCAAAACCTCGAATATACTCGATATTCGCTTATGCGAAATTTGTCAAGTTCGAATTTATTCGATTATTCGGTCATTCGAAATTTTTGATTTTCGAATATATTAGAACATTCGAATGTTCACTTTAATTATTCGATTACTCGACATTTTCGTGTAATTGAATAACTGCTTGCTAGCGTCACCTTTTTGATCGCTATATCAGCAAATATCGTTTGTTGTTCAAGTTGCCACTATATGGAGCCCTTCATTGTGCTAATTCGATCAAAATTTGTTTCAATTGACATTGTCGATACAAAGTATTCGTTTATTCGAATTTTTTTCCTCGAATGTATTCGATTATTCGAAATTTTTTCATTTCAAAATATTCGATATTCGATTATTCGACAATTTTGAATTTGAAAACATTCTATATTCGGATTCGGATATTCGAAATTTTTTGTTTTTGAAAATATTCGAAATTCGATTATTCGATATTTTTGATTTTCGAGTATATTCGATTATTCGATTATTTTAAAAAAATTTCGAACATTACAAAGTATATTAGGTTGGCACGAAAGTTCTTGCGTAATTCAAACAAAATTCAATAACTTTTCAAAGACTAAACCTAAATACAAAATCTTGTATGCTAAAAATATTAGAAGCATTACGCTTCATGATGGATGTTTAAGCATAAAATTACGTGAGCTGGACATCAAGAACGAAGTTCTCGAATATGGGGCTTCAAATTTTGCGATTATGAGTTTGGTGCCAGAAAATCGCAGAGTGCCGCTAGCTAGCCGAAAAAAATCTGTAGAATTTACTTACACAACGAAAGTCCATGTGTTACTTTGGAAGGCTTTGATCTTGCACGGTGAAGCAAAAACAAAAAATTCGTGAAATATGTCATTTTGCGGAAAAATTCCCCTCCTGCCCGCAGTTTTCCGGCGAAAACACTTTTTTACAATCGAAAAAACGTCGCAAGGCTCTAAATAGGCACTATGTCTAATTTCTGGTTGCAAACTGTGTTTCTGTGGAAAGATTAGAGCGATAAGGGGATTTGTCCTGTGAAATGAGAAATTTCACAAATTTTTTGTTTTCGCATTTCCATGTGAGATCAAAGCCTGCTAAAATAACGTATGGACTTTTGTTGTGTAAGTAAATTCTACAGATTTTTTTGGGCTAGCTAGCTGTCCTCTGCGATTTTTTGCCACCAATCTCAAAATCGCAAAATTTAAAGCCCCATATTTGAGAGCTCCGTTCTCGATGGCTAGCTCATGGAATGTTGTACAAGAACTTTCATCATGGAGCATAAGGCTTCTAATATTCTTAGCATACAAGGTTGTGAATTTAGGTTTAGTCTTTAAAAAGTTATTGAATTTTGTTTGAATTACGCAAGAACTTTCGTGCCAACCTAATATTATCAACCACTCTCTGTTTTCAACTTCCAATTCAGAAATTTCAAAAAAATTCACACAGCATTGAACTTGAAATTCTTCAACCATTAATGGTGATTTTTGAAGGCTCAGTTTTGGCAAAAATAAAATTCGACTAATGAGACAGAGTTTTATCTATCCGGTAGGCATATTACTAAAAAATTCGCACTTCAATACTGATTCCAAATCTGTCCTTCGTATCCATGGAAGTCAATTCCAAGAATAGTTATGAGAGTTCGTGTCTAAAGGACGTCCTCCACAAGTTTTCCTGGATCCTTGTCAAGATCTTCTCCACAGCGCTCGTGCTCTTAATTATCTCCTACGGCACAGGCGGCGGACCTTTGGTTCCTCCTGCACCGCATCGCCTACAAATAATATGACTTTGCAAGAGGTGTGGACCACCGGTGGTCCCCATCGTCCCTGGCAGCAAAAAGTGCGTGGGCCACCAGTGGTCTACATCGTCGTCAATGGGCTAAATACATGGAGCTATGTGAATCAAGAGTATCTGTTGGCAAATTTGGCATTTGACATACATGCCCTTATATGTGAAGTCACATTAGTGCGCGACCAATAGGAGCTTACATGTTCATACAAACTTGTAAAATGTCGACTGTACTTTAGAAAGGGTGACTTTAGCTTAGGGCGAACTGTTGGTGCTTTAGATCTTATGTACAAAGGGGAATTTCAATTTTAGTTGTGGTTGAAATGCTTGAAAGGCACATGCATCAGACATTGGCGTCTCAGAATTTTGAATCTTCTTCGCTCTCCGAAAGTTGAGATGTTTCCCAAAGTGTTCGCGGGCTCAGAACTGCGATAGCCGCGCCACCGAAATGAAGTTTATTTTGCAAGGCCAATTGATTTTTCTTGGAAAATTCCAAAATTATCTTGATCACCCACGGATATAAACAGACACTTCTTGTAATACATGTTGATAACTTTCAAAACTTTTGAGATCCATGCTCAGCCCTCCCGCTCCTCTGCTTGCCACGGTATTAGATCTCTCTTTTGCTCAAATTAAACGACATTGCAGGCAAATTATTGTTAACAAGAGTGATCGCAGATGCAGATTTGAGAGAAATCAATCATCATTTTCATGATTTTGGCACCATATGATGGAAATGAATGCTATCTTATCTGCTAGTTTGGAAACTAGGACAAATTTTGCGGCTTTTTCTCCAATTTTTTACTTTTTGAGTACGGCGTATTCATCCTTTGGCATCGAGTGATTATGTGAGAAGTACATGCCCGGTTTTGACATACCACACTTTTCGGAAACCGTTGAAATTCGAGGAATGTCGTGGTCAACTCAGTCGAGCCGAGTCAAGGTTGAGAGCCCATGCCTAGAACTCATTCGAAAAGTCTTACCATGAGGGAATATTATTTTCGTGAACTGCGCAATTTGCAACTCCCTTCTGCATCAAATCTTAGCCTAATACATGATTTCTCTACCATAAATCTACCGTATCCTCACATGCAGTGGTAAAATTTGTCGAATAAACGAATAATGGCAGCGACTGTGGCTCATAACATTCATACAATGCAAAGACTGGACGGGCAATCTCCAAATTTAAAATTATGCAGAAAATTGAGAAAGTTAGTTTCCAAACTTATATTCAGTAAAGTCACTTTTGCTCTGGTAGCTAGATGTTCATAGTGGGGAATTTATATGTTTTTTTTGAGAAAGAATGCCTTTATTGGAGATAAAATCTGCAAAACCTTAGCGGAATACTTCTCACTGATTAGTCTTTGAAAACAGCTGCATTCGAAGCGGTAACAAGCATTGTACCACCATCAATTACAAATGTTTGTCCGATAATATAGCGTGATGCTTTACGATCAGCTAAAAATGCTATGGCATTAGCAATGTCCACCGGTTCGCCAAGTTCTCGAATTGGCAGTGAGTCCGCAGTGCTGGCGAATTTTTTGTAGAACTGGAAATGGAATGATTTTGATGGTATTTTTTTTTGAGATAGAAATCGTGCATACCTCAGCAGCTTGGTCATCTGTCATTCCGGCATGTTGTAGGAATTTCGTGACAACAGCTCCAGGACTAGAATCGAGGTAGAATATAAATTCTGAGAGGCTCAAGAAGTACTCTATACCTAACACTATTCACACGGACTCCTTCAGCAATGAGTTCTATTGCCAAGCCACGAGTCATCTGGTCCAAAGCTGCTTTTGCCATTGCATAATAAAGGTATTTTGGGGCCTATAAGTAACTCTTTGAATTTTTAGGAGGGAACAACAGGCAGAGAGCTTACTCCTTTTGGTTGCCCAGCAATGCTGGAAACATTGACCACTTCACCTTTTGCTTTTGCTAAATGAGGACGAGCTAGCTGTGTCATGTGAAGAGCGCTGAATTTTTTGCGAATAACATATAATCAAGAAGTCTGGCAATTGTTTACTTCCCAACCTGTAAACATTCAATTCCATAGTCTTTCTTAGGATGTCTAACTCCGCTGTTGCGCCACCTTGATTCTTCTCGTCAACCACCGAACCACCGGCATTATTGATCTGAGCAGCGATTGCTTTCAGTAGATAAAGAAAACAAATCTTGAAAAGTTACCAAGATATCGATTTGTCCCCATTTTTCCACGGTACTATTGACAATTTTCTCACGTCCCATTGAATCGGTAATATCGGCATTGACAACATTGATGTTCTCTTCATTGCCACCTGCGCTGATGATGGATTGTTTAGTAGCCTGCAATCTGCCAAATCTATTTTTATTACTACAAAAAATAACGCATCGAAAGAAGGTATCGGCGCTACATAATCCATTACACAAAATAAGACAAGTGCAAATGTGTTCTCTTGATGGAAATCGATTTACTGCATTTTTGGGACTCTACAAAATGAGTAATGGAAAACTAAACATTAACGCTATTTGAAAATATTAATGTGCAAATCTAACAGAATGTTCTTTCTTGTGCGTTCTCGTTAGTACCCTTTGATTCACTGGCTTGGCGGCTGAACGGCAAGGTTTTGTGACCTAATTGAGGGTAGGTAATGATCAGAAAGAACGCGCGACGGAGAGACGCAGACTGCGTAGTGGCCTTAATTAGGTCACAAAGCCCCGCCTTCCAGCCGCCGAGCCAGATGAAACAAAGGTTAGTGACCAGTTGATGTCTGATCCATTTTTGGTTTCGTAACAGTATAATGCTTCAAAGATTGTTTGCAAAGCAATTGGTGTCGTTCTATTCAAGTTTTAAGCTACAGACTTTGCGTCTGCTGGAGATTACCCCGCATACGTCATCTTCCTTGTTGGCACTTTTTTTTTACAAAAATACTAAGCCTAGTCGACACCTATAGAGATGCACTGCTGACTTCAGCAAATCTTCAAAAATTTTGGAAAGCACAAATCAACGGATCAAAGCACAGTCGTTTAACTTTGTTTCCCTTCTTTTACTAGAGTATATGAACTTTCAACTAAAAAACGACTGTCTTCAGCATCTTAAACGTTGTTCTAGCACAAAAAAATTCAAAACCTCAAGTAACGAAAGCTAAAGTTGGTCTTACCTCAAGACCATCTTGGTTTCTTCCTGTGATCGTCACTTTTGCACCTTCTTTGGCAAATAAAACGGCTGTCTCGGCACCAATGCCAGAGGAGGAACCTTCAATGATTGGATTAGTAACTTGCAAACAATAACAAACAAACAGGAAGAAAATTGGTTAGAAATTTTGCAAGTGTTTCATCAGTGTAATTCGATCAATAAGGAATAAACTCAATTGAAGCGAAACTGCGTAAACAACTCGGCTCTGTTCAGAAGTAATTCTTATTAATCGAAGTAAATAAGTTCTCTAATCCTCTACCTGTCACAATAGCAACTTTCCCCTCGAAACGTGGCATGGTCAGAGCCGGAAAATGCAATGAACTCGCTATTCCGCCTACAGTGCAATGTGATTCAACTGGTTGCAGTACCAAAGAATGATTTATTTGTCATCAGTTGCGCTCTTTCCGAACGTTGTTCATCGATGCGGAAAAAAGTAAGAGTATTCAACATGACACAGCAGATTGCAATGCAGATTAGCGGAATTTGGAGGTTGTCGCGAAATGACACGTCGAGATAAAAGCGGAAACACAAATACTTGGTGCTTTTTTGTGAACAATGTTCTTCCAGACCTCATTGTTGGATGAATGAAAAGTTTTGCGTGTGGCGAAAAACACTAAATCCGTTGTGAAGTAGAAAGTCATCTTTTACTATAGCTAGATGACGGGTACAACTTAATCTTTTCTATCCATATTTATATTTGCTACATACATGTTGTCTACTTATAGATGATCTTTTTACTTGTGCGCAATTTTGATGTTGTTTATTTAGCTTCATCGCTTGTAATGTTGTTGTTCTTGCCCCAATCAGGAAAAAATATCAGGTCGTTCCATAAGTTCGTAGCGTTTTTTGATGTCGTTTCCTAATGAAGCGGTGGTTTACTGCAAAATTCATGTACCATTCGAAAGAGCCAATTCTTCTCTATAAGACCTGCTTTTCGACCTTGTTTTTTATAACTTCTCAAAGCAAAGTTTTTTTTTGAGATGCAAAAATATCTTTCGACAATGCATCTCGGCTCTATGTACGAAATCACCAGTAAGAATTTTCCATCTACATCCGTTATGGATGAAGACAACTATTTACGGAACTATGGCGCGTATAAAAGTGGACTTTCTGTCGAGAGAGACGCTAAAGAGAAGGATAAAGCGCATTTGCACCATATGTGTAGATGTTGTCCGTTTGGCGAGATTGACTCAGTTCTCTACCTCGAAATTTACCAGGAAGTCTGAAATGGCTAGCCAGGGCTTATATCTAAGCATTTGCACCACTTAGACAAAGCCTTCATTGGTCGAGGCCCAAAAACAAGACCGGAACATTCTGTTGCGAAAAACGCATGGGAGTCGGAAACAGCAACTAATGAGACCTTGTTTGAGCCTTTCTTGACGTATTGGCGTAACACTAAAGTGTCAGCATAACAGCCTTGCTAGCTGCTAGCTACTCCGACTGTCCTTGCAAAATTTTGTGGTGTACGGAAAAAATGCGGGAAGCATAGATGTCCAAATGGCAAATTTTCCCACTCTCAAAACTTGGCTTTGAGAAGTAAGCAAAGGTCATCTCGTTTCGGAAGTAAGGAGCGGATCTTGCAGGGCAGGGTCGGCTCTTTCGCATGGTACAGGTTACTTGGCCGTAAACCAACGCTCCATCAGACAACGACGACAAAAATAAAAACGCTACGAACTCGGACCTAAAAGGACCTAATAATTGTGAAATCTGTGTGCGAAAGCATCTAAAGGAAAAAGCACAGACGAAGAAATTTTGCTCTAGTAGGAGATCTGCGCAGTTTCAAAGGAGATCTTGTGACAATATCAAGCTGTTACAAAGTTGATGATCTCTCCACATGCGACAGCCGCTGTGTGAGTCAAAAATGCAAGATGTATACTATTCGATAGATTAAAGCAAGCTCTAGAAGATAACTACCAAGTTTTTTCAGAAATTGGTCCTATCCCAATTTGGATGCCAAATTGAAAAGTAATTGATTTCGTCAAATCGGGGGGCAGACAACGTGGACGGAGCTTGTGCTAGTCATATGCACAGTGTAGGTTGAATCTTACTCAACGTAATTCGCGCCCGAACCTCTCCTGCTGGGCGCGCTGCCAAGCTAAGTACAGGCCCCGTAAAACCCAATTGCCCACGCGTCGCTTTTAACACCAACGCGCGGCGCGGCTGGAAACGTTTGGTCCCGAAGCGCTACAGGCTTTTTTCTAGCGACAATGAGCGCGCGTCCTTTCCACACATATTTTTTTAAACTTTTGAGGGGGGCTTTCGTCGAGATATACCTTGCATTGACGACAACAACATGAAAGTTAAAGAAAGATTTTTTGGAATATAGTGAACGCCGACAGTCGTTCGCGACGACCGCTCGCTTACGCTGGTGTTCAAGGTACGGCGCGGGCAATTAGGTTTTGCGGCGCCTATAGTATGTACGGCCGCGCGGATAGCAATGTGTGCCTCTTCGATTTCGTTTGTTATTCATTCTTTCTATCACCCTTTTCGTGCCGTCTCCAGTAGCTCCCGCATATGGATGTCGATTTGTAATTGTGCCTTTGTGGTTCTTCTCGTATTTGGAGACGCGCAGCTAGACCTTGTGGTTCGCCAGATAGGTGGAAAACGACTGCGAGAGTGCAAAGCGGCGCCGTCTCATGAGGATTTGGGACGTGCGTCTAGAAACAAATCTTATTGACCTTTTTGACATCAACAGTTAAGTGACCTGGTCAAAATGAATGTGTAATCTGAAGGATCAACATGATATGACTAGACTTCAAAAAAAGACGTATGGTCGGGTACCTGTGCGATAACAGCTTTTCCATCGAAACACCCCATGGTCAAAGTAGCAATGCATGAATTGATTATTTTGTTTACAGTGCAGTGCGATTTGCACTGGTTGAAGGACCAAAGAACGAATTATTTGTCATCACTTACACGTTCTAGATTGTGTTCGTCAAAGCTAGAAAAAAGGCATAAAAGGCACGGTATCTGCAACATAGTGTACATATAATCGCAGAGATGAAGGAAAAGTGAAACACAGAGTGGAAACTTTGGTCTGCGGTAGTTTAATTCTCATGTCAAATTTTTGACAAAAACGGCCTTTTAAGAAGGCTCAGTGAGCTAGTTGAATGCTGCTAACAATAAGAAGCATCATTCCAATAAAAAAATTCGAATATCACCATAAAAAACGTCACATTCTAGTCCCTTTGATACCGGCTGTGTTTTGTCAATCATACAGTTTTTTGCGCTTAAAGGCAGTGGCTCGGCAAATCTCAACCTAGTCAAATTTGCGCTTACCTGGGGTTTTTCAATACCCTGATCCCGAAAATCCACTTTTGAAAGCTTGAAAACGGCGAAAAAGAGCGTTCTTAATGCCCTTCCCTTTGATATTGGACGAGTGGAGCAAGGCCGATGACGTTAAATCGTGGCAGGACCCAACCGTTATAGCGTTGCGGCGGGCAGCCTCCAATGGTGAGAAGGAAACTGCCAACTCGTCCAGATGCGTGTAAAATTGGCCTGCGCGTGTAAGTTCGAGAGCGATTTTCTCGGCAGAGAAAGCATGCTGTGCAACCGGGATTGCATTGTTTTCATAGTTGGGCGATAAGGAACCTACCGCGTTGAAATCCCGAGTTGTTGGATTTTGCCGATCCACTGCCTTTAATCTTCTCTTTTTCTTTGTCAATGTCAATCCCCATTTTTGAATTTCCATAGGGCTAATATTGTTACATTTTGCAATGCCTTGTAGTTTAGTTTTTAAATGGCTAATCGAGGTCGAGTCTCGCTGGAAAGCTACAATACCGCTCACAGAATGTGCAAAATTTCCGTGAATCGCAGAATTCCAGGAATTCCGCGAAGGTTCGCGAAATTTCAGGAATTTCGCGAAACTCCTGGAATTCCCCGAAATTCCGGAAATTTCGCGAACCTTCGCGGAATTCCTGGAATTCTGCGACATTCACGGAAATTTTGCACATTCTGTGAGCGGTATTGTATTTCTCGAAGTCTTCACATTCAGTACCTTTCCCTATCAAAAATAGTATCTCGACAAAGACTTTTGTAGGGACCAGCTACAGTGCAAGGCTCTGGCTAGTGTGGTAGTGATTACACTTTACCAGCGTGTACTGCATCGTTTGGACTAAGATCTTCTAGAAAAAGAAGACGAATGACGCGAGGCAAGGAAAAGTTGTAAAAAACCCCTATGTGAGAAAAGCTTTATCGCAATAAAAATATAATACGAGACTAAACAACGTCCAGTTTTTTGCTCCTCAAATTTTTTGCCTTTAATTTGTAAGCAGAAAGCTCACTTGAAAGACATCGTTGGAAATATGCTAGGAAGTCATTTATATCCTCAAAAACTTCAGCCGATGTTTTATTGCATAAAAATTCATTTGAGATGCTATGGTAGGAGTACAGAGTAGAGCTTCAAAGTAGACACTGCTTTTTCTATAAGGCCCTGAGCATAGTACCTCACGCTTTCAGTCGCCACGCGCTCTGGCAATTAGCCAAGACCGGTAACTGAATTGTCCCTCGAATTTTCTTTTGCATTGTCAGCTGAGGATATGGAGGTCATGAATCTTGTCGTGAATAGAGCACATTCAGGGAAATGTAAAAAATCGTCTCGCTCTCTTCAGAGAGAGTTTTGTAACGAAGATATTGATTTATTATTCAAATGAACAACAGATTAATTCATTGATATAAATCCATTCTCTATAGCTACGTTTGGAATTTATTCCTTGAATGCAGTGGCATCAGAGCAATTGACTAGCATGGAACCGCCATCGATAGTGACAGTTTGGCCAATCATATAACGTGATTGGCTTCGATCTGCCAAGAATGCGATAAGATTTGCGATATCTTCTGGTTCTCCACATTTTCTGATAGGTAGGGTATCCGGTGAGCTTTCAGCAGCTTTGTACAGCTGTAATCTAATGATGAGATGCGAGAAATAAGAACCGAGCCTAATGATTAAGAGTTCTACTTCCAGTTTTTGTCTTCTCCTAATTGCCGCAAAACTTGATGATCAACTTCAAAAAATTATACTTTTGCTATGACTGTAAAAGACCCAGACAAACCTCTTCAGCTGCTCCCGGCTTCATACCAGCAGTGACGCAGAAGTTAGTCCTTGTAGTACCAGGCCTGGAAAGTCCCTTTTTGATCTCAAGAAAAGCAAAAGGAGGGGGGAGGAGGAGAGGGGAGAGAGGGATAGGATGCCTTACCGTACAGCATTTACACGTACTCCCTCAGCAATGAGGTCGATTGCCAATGCACGAGTCAGCTGGTCCTGTGCCGCTTTGGCCATGGAATAATAGGCCCATCGTGGACACTAAAATCCTAGTTGTGAAGGGCGAGATTAGCGATTCCTAGGCAGCGTCTAGAGTTGCCTGTGTGCCACTGCTGTGCCAGGGCGGTGCCAACGCCGTGCCAGCGAGGTTCCATACGTTCTTGCGTCGTGTCAGCGCTGTCTCAGCCCCGTGCAGGACACATGGACACATTAATTCGTTGAAAGCCCGGCACAGTGCTGGCATGGGCAGCTCTAAATTTAGCCTCATATGAACCAACCAACCCCGAATGGCATAGCGCCAATGCTGGACACGTTGACAATCTCTCCTTTCGCCTTGATCAAGTATGGACGGCATAGTTTCACCATTTGAACTGCGCTAAAATTTTCTGATAGAATTATACATATTTTTGTATCAGTACCTATAAGTATTCAGATCCATTGTCTTCTTCAAGTAGCTGATATCTCCCGACAAACCGCATGATCCATTTTCATCAGGTAACATTCCTCCAACGTTATTTACCTGGAATCCTTTCTGATTATAAGCACTCAACCCAAACAGACTATTTGTTACCAGTATATCGATCCTGCCCCATTTAGCTACCGTATCCGATACGATCTTTTCTTTCACAGTATCGTCGAGAATATCGCCAGGTATGGCAAGAATGTCGTCTTCCTTGCATCCAGAGTCTTTGATTATAGACTGTCTTGTTGCCTGAGAGTAGAAATTCATTCAATAAATGGAAGAACTTGGAATAAGAAAAAAAAGAATCAAAAGAGATGCAACCCCGAATAGAGAATCTTTGGAAATTTCCACAAAAAAAGAGAAAACAAAAAGGTTTTTAAAGGGAAAAGTAGGAAGTCTTGCGGCTGGTTGAGCGAAAAGGATATCTAGAATCATTCTCAAAAATACTATAACGGTTCAAAAATTTCAAGCATTTGGCTTGAAAATCTTAGCAAATAAATCTATAATAGAAAGATATAAGGAAGCCCTTTAAGGAAATGTTGAGTTGTGTAAAAATTAGGTCCGAGAATTGAGGACAGAGAATGACCGCAAAACAATGTAACATATTCAAAGACATGATTATCGTAATTTGAGCTCATAGTATACCTCAAGCTCTTCGGTTTTGTTCGATGTGATGGTTACTCTTGCGCCCTCTTTTGCAAATAGCAATGCTGTTCCAGCTCCGATTCCAGAAGAAGAACCTTGAATTTTAACAAATTTTTCGCACAAAAGCTTCCAAAAAGTTAAAATTGATTCGTTTTGACTATAATTAGAAAAACTCTCAGTGATACTCAAATAATAACCTGTCACAATAGCAACTTTTCCATCGAATCGACGCATTGGTGATGGTGGGGCGAAGAGGAATTACTGGTTGGACGTTGTTGTCTGTTGCACTTGCAATGTAATGCGAGCAAAGAACAAAGTAACTGTTATCAAAGTTCTCCAATCTGCTGCACTAATCAGGGGTTTTCATCAGGATTGTCTGAGTGCAGACAGATTACTTTGTAAACTACATGCATGGTGGTTTTTTGTTCTAAGCTATTCTAGTTGAGAGAGGTGAAGGTATAAAAACAGAAAAAGTAAGCTGACACATTCTTTTCTGTACTTAAGAGAAAGAACTTCTGCCTTGCTCAACTATGTCCAGTGAAATTCAGAGATTTTCCTGGAGGAAGAGGGCAATACACTTCTCCGGGTAACCAGATTTTCCTGAATTCCAAGTGACTCCTACAGCAGCAGCCGCCTCGAAAATGTGCTCTTACAAAGCTGGTGGTTGTTGTCATAATAAACAAATATTCTGATTATCATATATTAGCAGTTACTTGCATAGTTCTTGAACATGAAATGCATGTATAAAAAAGTTCGTGGATCCGATGAGAGGGTGAGTTATTTTCACTGTTATGACCATTAAGCTATCTATTCCCACAGATGAGTTATAACCTAATAAGGACCTAAAAATCTTTATATTATTCCTGCGAAATGGATATTGCACGCCTCATGTGCACGCAGCAAACAAAGTTTGCAAAGAAAAAGAAGATCATTTTTGGCAAGGTCAATTAAATCACAACAATTATATAATTCATCATCTGTAAATTCACGAAACACAAAATCGAATAAACGCATATTTATAGAATAGAATCAGGCCCCGGCAAGTCGGTTTCTAGGGTTTCTGAAAACGAAATCTCCCCTGACTTTCGGAAGTTACAAAGTCCCCTTTGACCTACCTGCTTAGGAGAAGACGAAAACAAGAAAGATTTACTAGTCTGAAAGAAAAGACGTAAGATAAGAGTGAAAATCAGATAGCTGAATACTAGGCATGCACAAGTTTTTGGCATTAGAGCGCAATATCTAACACAGCGAGAAGAAATGAAGGCAAAAAACAAAGGAAAGGCAATAATATGAATGTCTTTATGCTCGGGGATAGGTTTTTGCCCGGGGTCCGTCCATGCCAAAAAGATCCGAAAATCATGTGAAATGACGAAAATATATGCTCCAGACGATCTCAGATCGTCTGGTGGGCGTCTGGAGACGATCTAATTTAAAGGTATTACTTCACATAAGTTTCCAAATCTTTTTACATAATACTTTCGCAAATAATATTCTGTACATGCAGTTCAATTTTGGTGTCATATGCTTCTGTGTGCGCTGTAATCAAGCAATTTGTTTATTTTGGTCTTGCTTTCAAATGGCGCGCACTTTTGGCTATACACGGTAGAGCAGGTTAATCGTGTGATAACCTGTCCGAAAAGCTTGTGTTTGACTAAATGGCGCTTATTCTTGATGCTAGGTTCCGACACCGCAGAAACGATATCCCCTTTGCTTTTTGCTTCAGAAACGAAGTCCAGCCTGCTTCCAGACGCTCTGTGCCGGGCCTTGGTCTGAGCTCTTACGGGTCGCGCGCCAATGCAAATTGGTTCTCCCCGCGGGCAGCACAAAAATCAGATGTAAACATATCATGATGCCAACAGATAAATTGTTCTACCCCATTACGGTGATTGCTACAAGAATGTTTCTGACTTTGTTTTCAACAATCATCCCCTCTCCTCCCCAGTTCGATGAAGTCTTTTTTTCAAAATCCTCCTCTCCCGGTCAACTTTTTGGATTAGGAGTCTCATTAGGCACAACCTGCCTTATGAAGGCCGTTATCAGCTGGGATTACCCTCACTTAAGAGAGACCCGGCTCCTCCATCGCACCTCTCCCACCACCCTCAACCTTCCCCGAACACTGTCTTTAATTTCGATCGATTAATACGGGGTGCTCCTGAATAGAAACGCCTTTGGAAATTGCCTTGCTAACATGGTAAAGCACTTGAAGCTTGAGAAATCTATAACTGTTTCATATTTTATGATGCGGAGGATGTGTGAATGTTTACCAAGAGAAAATCCTGTGGTCATACCGCTTGCGCACTCGAAAGAATGTTGCACTTCGTGTGTTCAGAGATCCCAGCAACGCCAACCGCTGCATGTTAGCTACTTTCTATCTTGAATTCAAAATTTTCACACACAATAATTCTCAGACTCGACTTCACTTGCCCACCTGGAAACCCAACGTTACATCTATGAAGCTACAGCCAGGGGCTACGTTCCAATGCTAGATAATAATCCTATCGCCTGCGTAGACAATGGTCCAGGATCTTTATGGATCATAGTGATGGCACCACCGTATGAAACCGAATGCGTGCAATATGTCACATGTTATTCAAGAATATGAACGTAATTTTATTTTCTACGTTACTCACTTATCGTCGAGTCATTCGTAACTTAATATGCGTAGTGCAGACTGCACACGCTAACTGACGAACTGCGAAACTGGAATTTGCTCATTTCCAGCTTCACCTTGTTCCCTTGTTTCTTTTGTTTTAGTTGGTTATAAGTTAGTAGAACACATTTCTACCCTTTGTTAGGCTAGAAAATGTTTTACTGGGAAGTTACTAGTATGGGTGCCGTCGGTAATAGGGCTTAGTGTGCAACCTCACATATTAAGTTACAAATGACTCGAGGTTATATGTGCATTGTGTGAAATACGCTATATGAATTCCCGAATCAAAGTTAGGAGACGATAAGAGGTTTCAATGCAAATAAAGGTGATACAATCAAAATTTCAAGACTAAGTGAAAAAGAAAGCACAAGTGTCGTATATTAGTACCTTTTTTGTAGTTTTCTTTCTCTCGTAATTTATTGGCAATCAATAGCCGTCCTGTGTATGGCGAAGAGCTATGTAATACCTCGCGGACACAAGCCAGTAAGAGATCCGTAGATTCCGACGGTGGGGGGGGGGGGGGGCGGGGTGGCCCCACGGCTCTAGGGATCGTTTTTAATCCAGTGGAATGGCTGTGGATAGCTATCGGGTTTGATAATCAGTACAACTTTGCAATCTTTTTATCAACTTCAAAGGAAGAAAAATGACTTTGAAGAGAAGCGCCGGGGATCATCAAGGATCATACAAAAACTGGAAAATGCGGCTTGTACTCTCGCTGCTGTTCAGTATATTCATAGTGAAGGATAGAAGGAATACTTGCGGATATGTAGACATAGTGAAATCCAGATATCTGGAGCTTCAGAATATGAAGCTTTCTTTTGACCTGCGATCCCCTTCCTAGCGAGGATGTTAATGCATGCGGCCCTAAGAGATACCCGGCTCCTCCATCGCACCTCCGCCCACGACCCTCAACCGCCCGGACATTGTCTTGATTTCGGTCGATCAATACGGGGTGCTCCTGAGTAGAAACGCTTTGGAAATTGCCTTACTAAAGTGGTAAAGTACTTGAAGTTTGAGAAATCTTTAACTGTTTCATATTTTATAATGCGGAGGATGTGTGGATGTTTACCAAGAGAAAAAACCCTGTGGTCATACCGCTTGCGCACCTCGAAAGAATGTTGCACTTCGTGTGTTCAGAGATCCCAGCAACGTTGACCGCTGCATGTTAGCTACTTTCTATCTTAAATTTAAACTTTTCATACATAATAATCACAGACTCGACTTCACTTGCTCACCTGGAAACGCAACGTTACATCTATGAGGCAGTGGCGGACCGAGGGGGGGGGGGCGGGGGGGGCGCGCGCCCCCCCCCGAGAATGGGTCGCGAAATTTTTGAAACTTACCTATATGGGTTGTAAAAATGTGCAAACGACTTGTTTGCACTTGAAAATAATTAAAATAATTTTTGAAATTTTTTAAAAATTCATTTTAGCCTTATAAAAAAATTTTTTTCGGGGGCGTGGCTGACGCCACGCCCCCTTTTTTCAGATTTTAGGGGTCGGGGACCCGCAAAAATTTTGAGAAGCACCCCAAAAATTTTTTCGGAGTGCGTGGCTAACGCCACGCACCTTCTTTAGAAAAAAATTTTTTTCGCGCCCCCCCCGAAAAAAATTTCTCGGACCGCCACTGCTATGAGGCTATGGGCCAAGGCTACGTTCAAATGTTAGATAATAATCCCATCACTTGCATGGACAATGGCCCAGGATCTTCATGGACCACAGTGATGGCACCACCATTTGAAATTGCTTACGTACAATATGTCACATGTTTTTCAAGAATATGAACGTAATTTTATTCTACGTTACTCACTTATCGTCAAGTCATTCGTAACTTAATATGCGTAGTGCAGACTGCACACGCTAACTGACGAACTGCGAAACTGGAATTTGCTCATTTCCAGCTTCACCTTGTTCCCTTGTTTCTTTTGTTTGAGTTGGTTATAAGTTAGTCACTGAATAGCGCTTATTCTTGGTGCTCGGTTCTGACTCGTCAAAATGATATCTCCTTTCTTTTTGCTCCAAAAACGAAGCACAGCCTACTTCCAGACGATCTGTGCCGGGCCCTGAATAGAATAGGTGAGGTAGGCAAAAAAGAATGGACACTGAGAAAAAATGAAGAATATGGGAAATAAAATTTACGTAAAATAAAGATGTTGAACATTATCACTAATATTTAAAATCTATTTGGACTTTCTTTTAGCACCAGTAGCGTTTAAAGCAATGACGAGCATAGAACCGCCAGCAACAACGATTGTTTGACCGATGATATATCGAGATGCACTGCGATCAGCCAAAAATGCTATTACATTCGCTAGGTCCTCGGGTTTCCCACTCCATCGATAGGCAAATAATCTGGCGATTCCTTGTATTTCTTGTAAACTGAAAAATTACATTGAAGAATTCGAGAAAAAGAAAAAGCCTAGACCTCAGCCTCTTCTTCTTCGAATTTTCCAGAGTTTTGGATGACATTAGTGACTACAACACCAGGATTCCCATAGTCACTCGAACACTTTCAGCGATGAGCTCAACGGCAATCCAGGAGTCATTTGGTCTATAGCAGCTTTAGCTATCGCGCAATACAGACAAATAGGAGTTTAAAACGGGAATACTGTACACAGGACAAAAGAGATGCCACGCCAATGAGCAGTTCTCAGCTCTTGTAAGAGAACTAGAAGATGATAACTGACTGCTATTGGCAATGCACAAATGCTGGAGACGTTGACG